AGATTTCAAAAGCAGTAGGAACTACCCAAAGTGGGCGTCTAAAAATCAAACTTTTAAACTTTCGGCGAAAATGTGAAAAATTCAATCTGGATAACGACAACCTGTTTTTCAAATCCAAATCCGGACCGCTAAGAGTCCCTCACAAGGCAGATGTGCCAGTGTCCCCAGTATAGCCGTGCAACGAATAATGCTGAGCCTAAGAATACTTAGACTCATTTGCAAGATGCATTTGGGTCTTTTATAGTCATTGGTTTTACTCATGCTTTGCACGTGAAAAGCAATAATTGCAGCTTTTGGTTGTGTTCCGTAACAATCAAGCTCATCATGACAAACATGATGGATGAAACCATTCAAAATCGTTGATGGTTGCATTTGCTCACGCATGTTCTTCTAAACAATAACAACAACAACAATATTCAACTTTATTTTGCGTTTCTTTTTTAAGAGTGTATGTTGAAGTAACTGTACACAAACATAATCGCAATTTTAAGTAAATGGGGAATATTAATAATATCTCAAAAAGTAAAGGATGGATTTTAATCGAATCTTGGTGGTAATGTTAGGTATGACACAGGGACTATCTGAAAGTACATTAAAGTACCAGTACAAAGTAGTACTTTAAACATGTAATAGTGAATGGAGATTGATGTGCAAGGTGGAGGCATGTTCTCTAACAAGGGCCCTTCTAGTTTCCAAATTAAGAAGACATGTGCGTAGAATTCATGCTTGTGTTTGTATGTCAAATAATTTCGAAGCTTGTATTTCAACAGCATATTTTTTTCTTGCAGGTTGATGACGGATTGTTTGACAATGCAAGTTACTTAACAATGCTAAATCCTTGTGAAAGTTAAAATATATACTAGCACACATTATATATTACACTTGCAAACCCCACTTGTTATATGTAGTTATCTGTTCACGATGATATAATTTGTCACTCCTGTATTAATACATTCAGTTTATATTGAACGCAGATTTGGCTTTATGTTATTTGTCATTTAATTACCCAGACAAGTGTGACAGTGTGTCAATTCTGACTACTGGTAGGCCTGATTTGGCACTTGTGCATGACTATATGACAGTCACATTAACCTTACCTGGTACTATTATTACTACATAAGTATGTCGTGGTAGTATATATTATGAAATGGGAGAATACATTGATTGAATAAATGATTTCCATTAATATAGGCCAATACTTACAATGTTGTTGTCCGATGAAGGACAAACCATGTGATTAATTTATATGATTATGTGATATTTCATGTCACCAAATTAAAATTACAACCATACTATATGGTTAATTTTATATCATGCATCATAAGCTACCTCTTGATATGCTGTATGCTACATGACTCGTTACAAAAAGTGAACTGTCCCAATATTTTGAAGATAGTAAGGTAAACATGTTTTAATATATTTTTAGGACATAAATTCTGCAAAAAGCTCACCGAGTTGGTCTGATGTTTGATTATAGTTTTTGAGTTAGATTGCTATTCATCGGTCCGCTTTTGAGCCAAACGAACTGTTGGCATGGGCCTCACAAAGATGGCCTCCACTTCTGAGAGACACGACATGCATTAACTACAGAAAAAACAAAGAACAGGTGATTGTGGTTGGACTTTCTTCGCATTTTCGTCGATAGTGTAGCAAACTATTTGTCCCGTGAATAACAGCCATTTTCACAAAGTGCTTATTTGTATGTTGTTTAACGCAGACTCGGCTATACTCCAGCTATATGGCAGCAGTCTGTAAATATTCGAGTCTGGACCAGACAATCCAGAGATCAACATCATGAGCATCGATCTACGCAATTGGGATACAATGACATATGCATGTATGATAGAAGTCCAGGTTCTCTCATCACACTGGAAGCAACAACCGCCGGTTTCGCTGACCAGTGATGAAAACAATAAAGTTGGAGGGAACGGTGCCGTCACTAGACCGTGTCCGAGTTGTTTGTATGACCCGGTCGCACCTAAGGTGATGCTATGGTCGAAATTAATACATACAATGATACTTACTGTGATAGGTTGAGTGTATTCCAGTTCAAATGTAGATACATAAAAAGTATAACCACACTCAGACAAGGAATGGCAAAATATCCTTTCTTCATGGCAGATTGCTGGTTTCGAATGACAAAACAACTGGTATCGTCTCTACTTGATTGACGCTTTGGATCACATACTGACAGGCAATCGATGTGACCACAGTTATGAATTGTAATGTCGTGTTTTGGCGAATGTTCACAGCGTTCCACCTGAACTAAACATGTGTTCTCAGAAAATGTACCTTGGTCTGAGCAAATCTATTCTGCACAGTCACAAAATGATTTTTGATTCTCTCCATTCTGCCCATGTTGGGGCGTACTGGTATCCTGTGGTTTAAGCGTTTGGCCAAGTGCTAAAGACATCGGTTATGAATTGTATTCAAAGCGAATCTTCACAGTGTTCTCCCTAAACTACATGTACCAGTATAACAGTGTGATCCCCCAGGACAGAACGGCAGTGTGACCTCTGGTACGGCAGTGTGACCCCTGGCACGGCAGTGTGACCCCTGGTACGGCAATGTAACCCCCAGTACAGAAGTGTAACCCCCAGTAAAGCAGTGTAGCCCCCAGTGCAGTAGTGTAACCCCTAGTAAGGCATTGTGACCCCCAGTACAGCAGTGTGACCCCCAGTACAGCAGTGTGACCCCCAGTACAGCAGTGTGACCCCCAGTACGGCAGTGTAACCCCCAGTACAGCAGTGTAATCCCCAGTACAACAGTGTAACCCCCAGTACAGCAGTGTGAACCCCAGTGCAGCAGTGTAACCCCCAGTACAGCCATGTGACCCCAGTGCAGCAGTGTAACCCCTCGTACGGCAGTGTGACCACAGTACAGCAGTGTGACCCCCAGTACAGAAGTATAACCCCCAGTACTTCTGTTTGACCCCAGTACAGAAGTGTGACCCCTAGTACGGTAGTGTGACCCCCGGTACAGAAGTGTGATCCCCAGCACAGACGTTTGACCCCAGTACAGCAGTGTAACCCCCAGTACAGCAGTGTGACCCCCAGTACAGCAGTGTGACCCCACCCCAGTACAGCAGTGTAACCCCAGTACAGCAGTGTGACCCCTAGTACGACAGTGTGACCCCAAGTACGGTAGTGTGACCCCAGAAGTGTCCCCAGTGAGCAGTGTGACCCCAGTACAGCAGTGTAACCCCAGTACAGCAGTGTGACCCCCAGTACAGCAGTACAGCAGTGTCATCCCCAGTACAGCAGTGTGACCCCTAGTACGGCAGTGTGACCCCCAATACAGCAGTGTGACCCCTAGTACGGCAGTGTGACCCCTAGTACAGCAGTGTGACCCCCAGTGACCCCAGTACCCCAGTACAGAAGTGTAATCCTCAGTACAGCAGTGTGACCCCAGTAAAGAAGTGTGACCCCTAGTACAGCAGCGTCATCCCCAGTACAGCAATGTGACCCCTAGTACGGCAGTGTGACCCCTAGTACGGCAGTGTGACCCTTGGACGGCAGTGTCATCCCCAGTACGGTAGTGTGACCACCCGTACGGCAGTGTCACCCCCAGTACAGCAGTGTGACCCCTAGTACGGCAGTGTGACCCCCAGTACAGAAATGTGACCCGTAGTACGACAGTGTGACCACCCCCACCCCTACAGTAGCGTGACCTCTAATACGTCAGTTTGACTTCCCAGAACAGAAGTGTGACCCAAGTACAGCAGTGTAGCCCCCAGTACAGCAGTGTGACCCCTAGTACAGCAGTGTGACCCCCAGTAAAGCAGTATAATCCCCAGTACAACAGTGTGACCCTTAGTGCGGCAGTGTGACCCCTAGTGCGGCAGTGTGACCCCCACTACAGCAGTGTGACCCCAGTATGTGACCCCTAATACAGCAGTGTCATCCCCAGTACAGCAGTGTGACCCTTAGTACGGCAGTGTCATCCCCAGTGCGGTAGTGTGACCACCAGTACGGCAGTGTGACCACCAGTACAGAAATGTGACCCTTAGTACGGCAGTCTCTCTCTCTCTCTCTCTCTCTCTCTCTCTCTCTCTCTCTCTCTCTCTCACACACACACACACACACACACACACACACAGAGAGATAGTAGTGTGACCTCTAATACGGCAGTTTGACTTCCCAGTATGGCAGTGTGACTCCACAGTACGGCAGTGTAACCCCCGTACAGTAGTGTGACTCCCCAGTATGGCAGTGTGACACATCCCCCCACTCCCTAACCCCAGTACGGTAGTGTGACCGTCAGTACCGCAGTTTGACCCCCTCCCCTCAGTACGGTAGTGTGACGCCCCAGTATCTGACTGTAGCACCCCAATAAGGCAGTGTGATCTCCTGTACGGTAGTGTGACTTCCCCAGTACAGCAGTTTGCCCCCCTTCCCTCAGCATGGTAGTGTGATCGCCAGTACGGCAGTGTGACCCCGCTGTACGGAAGTGTGACTCCCCAGTACGGTAGTGTGACAAGCCCCCCACAACTCAGTGTTACCCCTCCAGTGTGACTGATCCACCAGAAGGACAGCCTGATCCACCTGCAGGGCTTTCTTTGGTACCACCGGAATGAAGTCTTATCCACAAGAATGGTAGTTTGATTCTCACAATAGTTATGAACAAGTCCTGCGATTCTTATTTTGTCTCTGGCGCTTTATTTTAGTTTTTTGTATAACATTCCTGCTATGCTCTAAGTTGTCGACCGCCTCCGTGGTGTAGTGGCTAGAGCGTCCGCCCGTAGAGCGGAAGGTCGCGGGTTCAATCCCCGACCGTGTCATACCAAAAGACTTTTAAATATGGTACTTGTTGGTCCCTGCTTGGCGCTCGGCATTAATGGGTACAACAAGGACTGGTCGGCTCAGAGTCAGTATAATGTGTCTGAGTGGGGTATTCATGCTTCACTGCGGCATGGTATCTCAGTGAGCTAGCACTATAAAACCAGCTTAAGTCTGGGCTAGTACAAGCAGCCACACATACACATACACATACACGCGCATGCACGTCGTCATATGTGCGAAATATTCTCAAGCACGACGTTAAAGCCAATTTCACCTCACCTCTAAGTTGTCCAGTTCTATTTTTAACAAAAACACATCATTCATAAACAATCACAATTAGGAGAGTGGGTCACAGAAGCACCGAGTCCTTGTGGAATATTATCTGGCATGCACTATCCGGCCGGGTAATCAGGCTCGCAAACTTGGTTGACATATGTCATCGTATCCCAATTGCATTGATCGATACTCACTGGATTGTCTGGTCCAGACTCGAAATGTACAGACCGCCGCAATATAGCTGGAATATTGCTGAGTGTGGCGTTAAACGACAAACAAACCAAACAAACCGATGGGTTGACATTGATGAGAAAACTACAACAACGCTATATATACTCAACAAGAAAAGTTAAGGTCCACTACAATAATATACAACCTTGCCGAACTCCAAATTGACTCACAAAAGTATCTGATAATTCATTATCTTGCCTCACACATAAATGTCGTTTTCTGATTGGCTGAGCGCTCTTATATTATTTTCAATGTGCCCCGCTTACAAGCGAGTAACATTTTTTATATACCCCGCCGGGAATGCCGAACTCATTTGGTACTTAGTAGTAGTAATTCTTTATCTCGAATAACATTGAATCACGTATGATGTACGGAAATTACCGATGTTTTGCGAATGCAACTTGATCGAAGAAATAACTCTAACATTATTTTTCTTGTCTTCGAGAACAGTGAACAACTTATAATATTAAAGTAGTTCATATCATGATCCATTTAATACTTACATATTGAATATATGTCAATGTCAACCAATCGGTTTGTTTTTGTTTGGTTTTGCTGAGTATGTTTCGTTTCCAAGATGTCTTCATTGCATGATGTCATCAGCAAGGGCCACCTGCCGTAAGTCCAGCATCCACAGCCATTTGATAGAACCTCCCCTTCTCTTCAAGGAGTCGTTTTGGGCAGCCCAGCTCCTCCACAGTACCCTGATCCAAGACAAGGATCCTGAAATGAGGCAGTATTATCCTAATTCCTTGGGTGCAGTGATTAGCGGGTTTACTCGGATTCAGCCACTTTCAGTATTTTTTTTTTACCTTAAGCAAAAGTTAAATTAGGGGTGTTACGATCACCTCTGCGCTAAGATCGCTCCGTGGAACGGAGCTTACGAACGTCGAAGGTTATGCTGCATGTACTCGTTCACTACTATAGTTTTACGTAGTTTTTAGAAATATTCCAGTAATATCAAGGTGGGGTACATACGCTGGGATAAATATTCGGATAAACTGATCATAATTCCTATGGTTCTTGTCGTGCGATATAAAATTTTAAATTGGATAGGTTTTATCGTGTATCGAGTTATTCATATATGTGGTGTGGAAGGTCTGCGTCTGCAGCCCATGCCAACGGGATCGGGTGACCAGACACGCTGACTTGGTTGACACATGTCATCATGTTCCAGTTGCGTAGATCGATGCTCGTGCTGTTGAACACAGGATTGTCTAGTGCAGACTCGATTATTTGCAGACCGCTGTCATATAGCTGGAATATTGTTGAGTGCGGCGTTAAACAACAAACAAACTTCGGCCGGATTAGTCTAACCTGTCGTAGTCCATGACCGTGTTGAGTCGGTGGGCGATGGTCAGCACCGTGCAGTCCTTGAACTCTGACCTGATTGTCTGCTGTATCAGGTCATCCGTTGCCATGTCAACAGCTGCTGTAGCCTCGTCAAGAACCAACACTTTTGCCTTTCGCAAAAGTGTTCTCGCCAGGCAGAGTAACTGTCTCTGACCAACGCTGAAAGTAAACCAATGAAGTGTTCAAATCTTTGAAGGGCATTTCGAAGTGGAATGCATAAGAAAAGCAAGATTCTTGGATGTCAACTTCTTTATGGTGAATATCATCATGTGATGGAGGAGCAAGCATACACTCTGAAACGTCGCTTTATTCACAATAAAGAAGTTGACATCCATAAATCTTGCTTTTCTTTTCCAATGAAGTGTGTGCAGGGACTTACGAAACAGGAGATAAATCATCAGATACCACCATGTCAACAATTGTGGAGGCCACTACTGCACATAACCACACTTATTGTGAACCCGACATCTAGCCAGCCTCGTTATTCGCCTAAACTGCATAACCTACAACCTGAAAAGGAGGTTGTTTGGTTTACGTTAAGTTACTTCCGGTTTACACGGGCCTTTACATTTCATTGGAATCATTAATAGTTGCCTACTTTGGAGAAATCCTTTACAAACACATCATATCCCAACAGAAGTACTAAACAGGCAGATTTACTTTGAGACCTTGACCGTCACCTAAAATGACCATGTGACCTTGACCGAAAATGAAAGGCTGCCTTTTTTGTTTATTTGTCAGTTGCTCACGCCAGACTCAGTATTATTCCAGCTCTGTAAATAATCGACTCTAGACTGTCCCGTGATTAATGTCATGAGCATCAATTTATTCAAAAGTGTTACGACGAATGTCAGGCATGAACCAAGTCAGCCAGAATAACCACTCGTTCAATCCTTCCTTCCAACAAGCATGGGTTGTTGAACACAAATTCTAACCGGGTTTTTCACGGGTGAATTGTCATGAATGATGAACTAGACGCAGGTATAAAAAAAAGAAATATTTCATGAGATATAATACAGACAAACCCCAAGGGATTGACAACGGTACAAGAATCCGTAACGAAACGGAGCACTCACGAAATAAAGAAGTTGTTATCCATAAACCTTGTCTATATTGCACTTCCCAGCTTCTAAACTGCCACTCAAAGAAATTTCATAAGATATGTACGAAATGTATCAGCACCGAGTAATCCTACGATATCAGCCTTACGCCACAGCACGCATCCTCGTGTGTTTGGAATTGATTCCAGTGAGTTAGAGCACCAAAGTCAGAATGAATATTATCTTTGAACAGCTAATTTAGTTGTTACCCCTTTTCCTACCTGAAGCTGCTTCCACCTTCTCCACAGTCAGTCTGCAACTTCTCAGGGAGGGAAGCAACAAAATGTCGGAGATGGGTGTGGTCAAGAGCTGTCCATATAATAGAATCTGTGTACAGTCCCTTGGGGTCGAGGTTCATTCTCAGTGATCCACTAAACAACACAGGGTCCTGATATATGTAACATAGAACATGAGAGCCAAAGAATACCCAGTCTTGACTATCCTCAGATAAAAGTTCCGTTTGGTGCACATGGCTGTGGAAATGATATGAATTGATCACTTAAAATCAGTGATGACACCAGGTGTTCGGGAAATTAATGATGATTAACAAACATCTGAGATGTAACGATAAGAAAAAACTAACACCGGTAACTGTTGTACTGCCAAACAGATAGCCATTACTATAACCATTATTGATGGAAATTATACTCTCCCAAAAAAGAAACGCATCATGAAAATAGCAAATTCATGTAGCAATGAATTAAAACGTGATTCATTTTACAAAAGGTTTTGCTCTGTTTATGAGTCCTATGGTGTTTATGTTTTGAAACATCACAACAAAAACACACCATCCGTAAAATAGCCGTATTTAACAGCATGATTTTCAATTTCGGCGTGTAGTGTCACAGAATACACAATTCACATGCAATGCACGCGAAAGTTGGGGATCAGATAGTCTCAATGATGGGTATAAAAGGTTAATCGCTGTCTATCGATTTTTCACTGTATGTGGAATATTGTTGACGAACGCAAAATGCCACGTCTAAGTGAAGCCAACCGTCATATCGCCATTGGTTTGCTTGAAGCTGGCCAGTCTCAACGTGCAGTTGCCCGACGCATGAATGTTCACCAAAGCACCATTTCACGGCTCTGGGAGAGATATCGCCGGCAGAATGCGGTAGCAGATGCCCCTCGTAGTGGGCGACCTCGAGCGACCACTGCGGCGCAGGATCGCTACATCCGGGTACATCACCTGCGTCATCGAACAGCTACGGCGACCAGTACCGCTCGACAAATACCCGGATTGAGGAGGCTTTCTGCACAGACAGTCAGGAACAGGTTGAGAGAGGCTGGTTTACGTGCCAGAAGACCTTATTTTGGCCCCTGTGCGGGTGTACAGACGTCGACGTGAACGTTTCGCCGACGCTTGCGTTCCCCAGGTGGACAGATTCGGCCGGGTGATTTGTTTTGATGTGAGGAGCGATCACCTGCCGTAGGAGAAGTGATTTGGTGATGATCCAGGGCAACCTGACAGCTCAACGGTACTGTTACGAAATCCTACGCCCACACCTTCTTCCAATCATTGATCGCCAGAGGGAGTTGTTTCAACAGGACGATGCCAGGCCCAACACAGCACGTCACACTAGAGACTTCCTCCAGAACCACAACATCAATTTGCTCCCCTGGCCCTCAAGATCACCGGACTTAAACCCGATCGAACATCTGTGGGATGCCCTGGACAGACGGGTGCGACGCCGTAACCCTCAGCCCCAGACACTTCAGCAACTCGCACAGGCACTCCATGCTGAGTGGGCTGCGATTGGGCAACACGAGATTCTGAGACTTATTCGTTCGATGCCGAGGCGATGCCGTGCAGTTCTGGATGCCCACGGTGGTCACACGAGGTATTGACTTCAGCGCCACCACACGTCTCCATGTGACACTCAAACTGACTTTCCTCGAGTTGGTGCCAAAGACGGATAAGTCTGCATTCCCAGTGTGCAATTTCGCTATATTTCATTGACTCATAAAGCCTACAAGATGTTTCAAAATAAACATAAAACTACAGTTGAAATTCCTATATGCGTTTCCTTTTTGGGAGAGTATATGTCCAATGTGGGCTTTTAGTGAAGGTGTGACTCAAAGACTATTCCCTATGATTAAATTGACCATTAACTCTGTTGTCACGGTTTTCCTGTGTTCGATTCTGTATGAGAAAATTTGTGAAGATTAAAGGTTAACAACTAGTATAGGTGAAGTATAATACCAAGTATATGCTTCACAAATGTGCCATCTTCTGAAACTCTTCTACTGATTATGTTTAAGTGTGTGAACCATGCTCATTCAGCCACACCTCCCATTGGTAGTTTGTCGCCAATACTTCTGAAGTGTCTCTCTACCACTTCAATCTGTCTCACTTCGTTTGGTGGTTGTTTCACGCCGCACTCAGCAATATTCAAGCTATGGTGGGGGTCTGCAAATATTCGAGTCTGGACCAGATAATCCAATGAACACCAGCGTGGGCATCGTTCTACGTACGCAATTGGGATATGATGACATGTGTCAACCAAGTCAGGGAGTCTGGCCACCCGATCCCGTTAGTAGCGTCTTATTAGAAGCGTGGATTGCTAAAGAGCAATTCTAACCCGGATCTTCACGGGTACACTTTGGTACAATGTTGGTGTCAATTTGAATTTAGTAACAGGGGGAATTGTGTAAATATACCTTTCCCTTGGAGTCGCTGAATAAATGCATAATTGAACTTACTTGTGGTATGATAGCAAGTTTCTCCCTCAAATCATGGAGTCCGATGTCTGATATATCAATCCCGTCAATTAGAATTGACCCCTCTGCTGCCTCAACTAGTCGGAAAAGGGAGAGCATCAGAGATGATTTCCCAGCACCTGTCCTCCCTACAACACCAACCTGTAATTATAAAAATAGTGAGTGAGTTTAGTTTTACGCTGCTTTTAGCAATATTGCAGCAATATCATGGCGACACAATAATTAACTTTACACATTGTACTCACGTGGAATTATGAAATTAAATACAGGAAGTACACAGAAATATCTCAACACCATTGACCATGAACAGTAAACATGAAAACGAAATACCTTTCATGAACTTCACGAAAAGGTCGTTGCCATTGAATGGCTTTTCCAGGGACTGCAATCAGGTTCCCGATCCACGAAGCGTTCGTAACGCTACGACATGTCGTAACTCTATAGTTTACCATAGGCTTGCGAATGTCGAAGCTCTACGAAGTCTTTGTTCGGGATGATGCAGCATATATATTCATATGTATTTGCTAAGCACAAAATATTTGACAGAAGCATGGCTATGTCGTCCAAGCCAGGGGCGGTCATGTAACTTCATTGTCGTAAATACCTGAGTGAGTGTGGTTTTACGCAATATTCAAGCAATATCACGACGGGGGGCACCAGAAATAGGATTCACACATTGTACCTATGGGGGGAATCGAACCCGGGTCTTCGGCGTGACGCGCCAACGTTTTAACCACTGGGCTACCCCCACCGCCCATGTGAATAAAGGGAATACAATTTTGTGATACAGTATTGACCGTACGTTATACAAAGCAATCTTATACATCTGTCACAGCTTGACTGCAACAAAGGCAGGTGTTTATGAAATTCGTGATAATTTATTACGTATAATCAATACTATATATTTTTTTATGAGTCTAAGTCGTGCGTTTTCCTGAACAAATTAAAATATCTACATCTTTCTTTGTAAAGCTTTCTGCATTCTGCGTCATAGCATGAATTTTCATGTTTTCTGCTAATGTAGTGGATTTGTTTCATGTCGCCAGCAGCTGTGCAAAGAGCTTCAGTTATCGAATCAAAACTTTTATCTGTATCTGTAAACGCTGAATCCAGAGACTTGCTAAGTAATTCTTGTACACTGTCTGATAGAATACTTTGTCTAAATTTATAAAGTTTGTTATGCGTTGAGATGTTGAGGTTAGAAGTATGGTTTTGCGAGCAAGTGCTGGGAGTCTGGGGCTTATATATATTGGTGTCTATGAGTTGAGTGATTAAGGGGTTTGTTTTGGTTGATGTCCAGAAATTAAGGGTTGCCTGATCTCGTCTTAGTCCAAAGGGGATTTCGCCAGTTAGTGCTTGTAATGAGATAGGAGAGGTTCCTTGCTGTGTGAGTGATTGTTTTTAGGGTTATGTATTGTATTGTATTGTATTGTATTGTATTTAGTTTAGTTTATTATTTAGTGAGTCGTTTAGAGTGTTGTAGCTTACGCAGCCACAATCTTTTGGGACCAAATTAGTGATGTGTATAATGATAACAGGATGCAAGGTATTTGTACAATATGTTAATGCATTAATGCTTTCCAATCCTCCAGATAAGCTGCATATTTGCATAAAATACGTAAACTACATATATAAACAAACATAACTCAGTTAACGTTGAGTTTCTTCCGTACAAATACGCTTAAGGAAATTAAATAATCGTATAAGAGCATTGTGTGTAATAACTTAATGTAGCTGTTTCAGCTTGCGATATATTTTGTTTCGGATTAAATACAGAACAGAAATCATGTATTCAAGATGTCCACTGCTTTGAATAATGTGAAACATCTCGTTTATTGTCATTTAGTCGGTTTAAACATCCAGTAGACTGGAAGAAGAGTAAAAATATAACTGAACACCCAATGGGAAACACGTGAGTAAGGGATTAATGGTTGTTTGGTTGTCACTAAACATTCAACAACATTGGTCTAAGGAACTGATAACCTGTTGAAGGGAAGTGATGAAGCTGTTGACCTACATAAAACAATGTGAACCAAGTATTTCTCAAAGTGTTAACATTTGTGATCATCTTTACTTTGGAGGCTGTTTGGGTTCAGAACACCGACGTACGTTTGCTTACAGATGAAGTCTTTAAAGAGACCACCTGCACATCATCAGTAAGTATAATCTTTGTCATTATTATATGGGTATTTATATAGCGATATAGTCCATCCAATCTACATGCATGCTCAAAGCGCTTTGTTTCCCTCGATCATTGGATGTCCATCTCATCGCATTTTCAATCTCAACTCCCTGTGGAGTATACAGTTCTTGCAGCCACTAGGCGCGCCAAGCTTTCCCATCCTAACGAGGTAATTATTCACAGCTGGGTGGACTGGCACAGTACTTAATCCAAGTTTACTGCACGTTGCTGTACGCGCAACTAGGTGTTTGCACGTATTCACCATCTGGTCATTTACGAACGGTTTGTGGGTTTTAAAGTGCACAGGGTTGTGTACTGTACTCTAGCGGTTGTGACAACACTGAAAGAGTCTACACACAAAGCTGACTCCAAGGTTTTTACACCCGGTCACAGGTGAGCTCGATCCCGGCACCTTAAACTTAATCTTAGTCTTTTACCCAAGGAGCCCTTCTTCAAGTTCTCCTGCCCAATTTTCTGCATCACTTCTACCACCTTTCTCTCACGCACTATTAATTATGACTCATTCAATAATCTTCGTTCGAGTTTCGAAATTTCGGGTTAGCGTTTGAGTGAGTGTCACGTCACATCTTAGGCTACATACAATAAATTTCTTGTTTCTCGTCACTTATTTTTTTTTTTTAAATGGGTAGGTTGGGCAAATTTTATGCTTTAATATTTTTTTCTGATTTTCTATACAATGTTAGTCGAAAACTTGGAATGTTTGAAGATGAGACGGATTTTTTAAGTCTGCCGGCTTTACACACGCAAATTTACCAAAGCAAAAAATAAAATAAAAAACTAGGGTCGGCCAAACGTTAGGGTCGGGCGGTAATGAGAAACAACAAATTATTTTTATGTGGCCTTAGTGAAACAAACTACTGACCGATAGCATGAACAATGATGTTGATTCTAGCAAAAGCACAAATAGGTTCACTCTTCATTCTGTCAATGACAATAGATCACGGCATTTTTAAATCTCTCATTATTTCAGAAATAATACTCGATCGCTACTGGTCAAACTGGTAGAGGTGTATTGTTTAGAATTGGTCGAGTGCAATAAGTATTGCCATTATGAAATATATCGTTATTTGAGAATATATTCCATTATAATTGGTTAGATTGAGGTTGAAAATAAGTAAGTACCACTGACTAAAAACATGCCACATCGCAAGTTTAGGCCTGTAGCCGCCTTTCCAACAGGGTGCCGTTTAACAGTACAATAATGTTGACTTGCAAACAAAAGTGTCCAATCGCTATGTATACAGGTACTTATTAATTTGCAATTTTATAGCAATACGCGGCAATAAACACTTTTCCCGCAGTAAATATACGAGTTACACTGCAATACCATAGTTAGTTTGTTGATTTGTTGTCTAACGCCGCCCCCAGCAATATTTCAGCTACATGGCGGGGGTCTGTAAAAGCATGAATATCGATCTAGCGCAGCGTCACTAAATATCATATTATATCCGTCAAAATATTGCTCCGTTAACACGACATACTTCAGCTAAAGCGTTCCATCTTCCGAATCAGAATTATTCATCACAAACTATGGTTTCATGTCTGTTTCCGGAAATCTTTCGGCATGGTTTACGAATGAGCACAAACACAAGCAACACATTAACATTAAGTGCAGTCATTAAAACACAGCCCAAAGGAATATAAACTTATCGAATACCTTCCTCCAACTGATATTCAGCTTCAGTGAGTTTTGATGATTACGGATAACTATCTTTCTTCTGTTTAATGGCTTAGGGACACAATATTCAGCGATGTAAAACTAGGGTGTATTTATGCGAATGCTTTTCACAAGGCATCAAATAAATCTCCACTAGTACCCTGGATGTAACTGTATTACCTCCCTTTGCTGGCTTTTTATCCAATGAGGTGTCTACGCTGGGAAGTTGAGCGTATCAATCACAAGGCTTCTATCATAACTCCCTTTTGCTTCTTCGGTAAACAGGAATGTTAAGAGGTAGAAGGAGTTCTTGCATATATTGTTTTAAGGTTTCAGACCTGTCAATTTGTCTGTATGATTTTATCCTTAAATCTGAGTCGCACAGCCATCAAACCTTTGTGGCTGCGGCCGCCATCTTTTTTGACACCGGGAAGCTTGGTTGTATCGGGTTAGCTACTATGAGAAGGCGGAACCAGCAAAGAAAGGTAACACAATTTTTGGGCCGAGCCGTAGATGCATCCAGGTTACTGGTGGAGATTTATCGGAACGTGTACCCTTGAGATTATCGAGGATATTCACAAGGATATAATTATCCTTCTTCTTCCAATTCCCACATAGAGTAGAATTTCGTGTTTAACACGAGTGTGGGTTTTCATATGTATCCTCGAGTGAGACGAATGTTCTTGACGAGTAATTGTAAAACACAATGTCATGCTTACCTTTTCTCCTCCATGAACAGTGAAAGTGATGTCCCGCAATACCAAGTCAAGACCTTCTCGGTATCGTAAACTATAGTTCTTGAATGTTAGACTCCCTGTGTGAGGCCAAATTGGTAGCAACCGACCCGTGTTCTTCCTTCTGGCAGCCTGAAACCAATATGCGATCATGTCTTTAACAAACAGTACTGTTATGTATTGTACTGGGGATTACACTTTCTCGAAGTCAGGCGCCTAACCCGCCCAGCCACCGCGGCTTCCACTTTATACTATAGGCTGAGTGAGTTAGGCGGCTGACTTTGTGTTCTGGCGATTATGTGCCTGACTCTGAGGGTGTGGTTTCGAATTCCGGATGGGACTCAACCCAACAAAAGGCACCTAATCGTCAGAACACAAACTCAGCCGCCTAACCCGCTCAGCCATCGCGGTTTCCACTATTTACTATTGGCCGAGTGGGTTAGGCGGCTGACTTTGTGTTCTGGCGATTAGGTGCCTTTTGTTGGGCACATCCAAAATATAACATTATGTTACATTTGACCATCTTCCAAATGGCATTCTGTATTCAGTACTGTAACTAATCGAGTTTTGTATCTGTGTCCTACTATACTAAATATCATGCAACTATCTTCCAAGATGGACGCCACCTCGCCCAAATATCTCCTATCGATAACTTCGCACATAATTTCGCTCGCCCGATGATAATTTGATTGGAATCGGGCTCAAAACGAAGCTATGGCGGATAATCCTGAGGTCATTCTAAAACAATTATGGAGACATAACATAGGCGGATCCAGGAGGGGTGGGGTCCCCCCCCCCCTTTTGTCCAGAAAGTTTGTTATATGACCATTGAAACTCGGGTGGAAATGAAGTGTGCACCCCACCCCTTTTCTCAATAGTGTGCACCCCCCTTTCTCAAAAAGCTGTATCCGCCCCTGCATAATACCCTAGATGATGGTGAATACCTATTATTGCGTTGCAAATAAAGGGCTGCTGAAAAGGATGAATGAAAAAGCATGCATTCATTGACGTTCGTTTTAGCAGGGATATATTATGGTATGGAAAGGGTTTTGTCGCTTCTAATTCAACCGCAGAGTGATCACCAACTTAAGGCGATCTTGCATGTTGGAAACGTTACTGGATCTAATCGGTCTCTAAAGATACCTCCGTTCTCCTGCACAATGAAACCAACTAATTGACACGAGCAAGCACACTTTACATACTTATATAAATGTAGACAATTACCTCATTTGGGCTGTTAGTGTATTCGTCTATTTTTTTCATAGAAATGAGGCTGGTTTCAACTTGTCCCTGTAAAATCACAAACCACATCATGCAGCCATTTATCTGAAACAGCAAAATGAATAAATTATAAGTGAGTCCATGACAATTAATTGGCATACTATTTTCCGTCCATGCTTCCATAAAACAAAAGAAGAATTAGGGAGTGGGGCTTACCTTGTAACATCGTGCTTCAATAAACCAAAAACAAATTAGGCTACATCCACTAGCGGATTACCCCCTTCTGACTGGCTGATAATAGAGTGGGCGTGGCTTACGTTGTAATATCGGGCTTTCATAAACCGAAAACAAATTAGGTTACACCCATTAGCGGACTACTGTCTCCTGACTGGCTGATAAAAGAGTGGGTGGGGTTTACGTTGTAATATCAGGCTTTCATAAACCGAAAAGAAATTAGGCTACACCCCACTAGCGGACTACTGTCTCCTGACTGGCTGATAATAGAATGGGCGTGGCTTACGTTGTAATATCAGGCTTTCATAAACCGAAAAGAAATTAGGCTACACCCCACTAGCAGACAACTGTCTCCTGACTTGCTGATAATAGAGTGGGCGTGGCTTACGTTGTAATATCGGGCTATCACAAAACCGGAAAAAAATTAGGCTACACCCCACTAGCGGATTACTACCTTCTGACTGGTTCATAATAGAATGGGCGTGGCTTACGTTGTAATATCGTACTATATACGTCATAACATTCAACTCTAGGCGTTTGAAGCATTATACCTGAGCTCAATCAGGGTATATATGTGCTTATATCACGATATTGGTATCAAGCTGGATGGGATGTGTTATAGGAATGTGGTTGGAGTGAGTGAGTGAGTGTGGTTTTACGCCGCTTTTAGCAATATTCCAGCAATATCTCGGCTGGGAACACCAGAAATGTGCAGGGGGAATCGAACCCGGGTTTTCAGGCGAGGTGAGGTGAAATTGTGTTTAACGTCGTGCTTGAGAATATTCCGCTCATATGACGACGTGCATGCTTGTGTATGTGGATGTGCGGCTGCTTGTACTAGCCCAGACTTAAGCTGGTTTTATAGTGCTAGCCCACTGAGATACCATGCCGCAGTGAAGCATGAATACCCCAATCAGACACATTATACTGACTCCGAGCCGACCAGTCCTTGTTGTACCCATTAATGTCGAGCGCCAGGCAGGGACCAACAAGTACCACATTTTAATGTCTTTTGGTATGACGCGGCCGGGGATCGAACCCGCGACCTTCCGCTATCCGGGCGGACGCTTTAACCACTACACCACGGAGGCGGTATCCGGGCCTTCAGCCCCTCTTGTGGTTGAAAGTGTGGAATGCAATACTGATAGAAGCGGCGTAAAACTTTCGAATGAGCTGTAGTTGTGTTGTCCTTTGGTGACATTACCTCCATAGAAAATGATATCCCTAGCCCAAGTAGGGCACCAGACATGGCACCTCTGAAGACAGTACTGAGCAGTGACGACATCGCACAAGCAACGTTACCCACACCAAGCATGTGTACACCAAGCCACCTGCAAAACCAATGCAAGATTTAGTTCAATCTTTCTTTCATTCATTCATTCATTCATCGTATCAGGTATATTTTGGCCAACCAATGCAAGAGGTAGTGCATCCATCCATCAAACGCACCAACCCATCCATCTGTTCACCCACTAATCCATCCACCAATCCGCCCGTCCGTCCATCCATCCAAATTCCGTCCGTCCGCCCACTCACCCATCCATCCATCCATCCACCAATCCGCCCGTCCGTCCATAAATCCATCCACCCACACTCACACCCATCCGTCCGTTAACAACTTTGGTGAAAGCAACGAGCATGGGAATGTTGTAGATACGCCTAGAAACAGGTCCGTGCTGAATCATCAGAATTCGAACCAACATAAGATAAGGTATAAGGTGTATAAGAAAGGTATTACAAATACCTGCGTGACAGCAAACTATAAAATCCCATCCTGTTCCAGTTGTCAGTCACGTCCTCGAACTTTTCAGAAAATCTTCCTTGAGCTTTGTAGGCTCTCACAATTTCAGCCCCTACTACGGATTCGGTGAAGTGGCTCTCGATTGGCGACCGCAGCTTCGACTCTAACATCCTCACTTGACAGCTTGTCTTGGTGTAACGTTTCTGCAGAGACACAGATAAACGGATTGACAAAGCTTCAGCCTTCGTTTGTCACATATGTTAGTGGATCAGTACTTTGTTGATCATTTATGTTCCAGATTCTCACATTTTCGTTATTTTCGTTTCAATTGTCACTGGCGGCGGAGTAGCCTAGTGGTTTAAGCGTTACCTCGTTAAGGATAAGGACGGTTCGATTCCTAAATTGGGTATAACGGCCGAAGCCCGTTTCTGATGCCTCCCGAAGTGAGCGCAAACTCATTATCAAGTTATGACTTGAGCTGATGTGCACACGTGGTGTACCTTTAAGATCATGAGAGGTTAGGACAGAGGTTTGGTGGAAATTGTAATTACACTAGATGGTACTGAAGATGGTTAACAAGTTCCCCATTCACTACGGTGATAGTCAGTGAGTGAGTTTAGTTTTAAGGCGCACTCAGCAATATTTCAGCTATATAGCGGTAGTTTTTATAATCGAGTTTGGACCAAACAATCCAGTGATCAACAGCACGAGCATCGCAATTGGGATGCGATGACATGTGTCAGCCAAGTCAGCGAGCCTGATCACCCGATCCCGTTAGTCGCCTCTAACGACAAGCATGGGTTACTGAAGATCAATTCTAACCCGGATCTTCACGGGTTCACTTCGGTTATATATTTAACGCACAGAGGAAAACACATCTTTACATTAAGTATTAAAGTGAGTTTCCGCAGTATAAAAACGTTCGTCGAATATATAAAGAATGGTGCCTGCAACTGAACCGCCAAGTTGCAACCATGTCTGTGGTCTCATGGTTACCGTGCTTAACATCTTACAATGGTGGTATTATACCTTCGACTCACATCATCCGTAAATAACCAGATATAGTGATTAACATGTTACGTGTATACCTGTTGTTACATCTTTTCAGATTAGCTTGTACTGTATCAGTAACACCATACAGGTTGGCTAACATGTCCCTCTCTACTGTGGTAGTAAAGCCCTATATACGGTTAACAGGTTCATATATGCCGTGGTAGTAATACCCTATATATGGTTAACAGGTTCACATATACAGTGGTAGTAATACCCTATATACTGTCAACAGGTTCACATATACAGTGGTAGTAATACCCTATTTATGGTTAACAGGTTCATATATGCCGTGGTAGTAATACCCTGTATACGGTTAACAGGTTCATATATACAGTGGTAGTAAAACCCTATATATGGTTAACAGGTTCATATATGCCGTGGTAGTAATACCCTATTTATGGTTAACAGGTTCACAAATACAGTGGTAGTAAAACCCTATATATGGTTAACAGGTTCACATATGCCGTGGTAGTAATACCCTATATACGGTTAACAGGTTCATACATACCGTGGTAGTAATACCCTATATACGGTCAACAGGTTCACATATACAGTGGTAGTAAAACCCTATATATGGTTAACAGGTTCATGTATGCCGTGGTAGTAATACCTTATATACGGTCAACAGGTTCACATATACAGTGGTAGTAAAACCCTATATACGGTTAACAGGTTCATATATGCCGTGGTATCAATACCCTATATACGGTCAACAGGTTCATACATACTGTGGTAGTAATACCCTATATACGGTCAACAGGTTCACATATACAGTGGTAGTAAAACCCTATATATGGTTAACAGGTTCATATATACCGTGGTAGTAATACCATATATACGGTTAACAGGTTCATATATACCGTGGTAGTAAAACCAGAACTACAGGATGGTTAACAGATCCCCATCTACTGTGGTAGTAATACCATATATACGGTTAACAGGTTCATACATACTGTGGTAGTAATACCAGAACTACAGGATGGTTAACAGATCCCCATCTACTGTGGTAGTAATACCCTATATACGGTTAACAGGTTCATACATACTGTGGTAGTAAAACCAGAACTACAGGATGGTTAACAGATCCCCATCTACTGTGGTAGTAATACCATATACTAGTATACGGTTAACAGGTTCATACATACTGTGGTAGTAATACCAGAACTACATATATATGGTTAACAGGTCCAAATTCTGTGGTAGTAATACCATATATACGGTTAACAGGTTCATATATACCGTGGTAGTAAAACCAGAACTACAGGATGGTTAACAGATCCCCATCTACTGTGGTAGTAATACCATATATACGGTTAACAGGTTCATACATACTGTGGTAGTAATACCAGAACTACAGGATGGTTAACAGATCCCCATCTACTGTGGTAGTAATACCCTATATACGGTTAACAGGTTCATACATACTGTGGTAGTAAAACCAGAACTACAGGATGGTTAACAGATCCCCATCTACTGTGGTAGTAATACCATATACTAGTATACGGTTAACAGGTTCATACATACTGTGGTAGTAATACCAGAACTACAGGATGGTTAACAGATCCCCATCTTCTGTGGTAGTAATATCCTATATACGGTTAACAGGTTCATATATACTGTGGTAGTAAAACCAGAACTACAGGATGGTTAACAGATCCCCATCTTCTGTGGTAGTAATACCATATATACGGTTAACAGGTTCATATATACCGTGGTAGTAAAACCAGAACTACAGGATGGTTAACAGATCCCCATCTACTGTGGTAGTAATATCCTATATATGGCTAACATGTTCCTAATATGTTGTGACAGTTATACCTAGTTATGGCTGACAGGTCACCGTATGCTCTGGTAGTAACACACTATAGAATGGTTAACAGTTTCCTATATACTGTGGGAGTATTACCCTACTTATAGTTGGCAAGTTACCTGTACGTCGTAATAGTAATACGCCAGAGGAATCAGCAGCACAAGGACGTGTGGCGTGCTGTATACAACAGCAAACATGGCAATAGTTATATTCATCGCCGAGTCGAACCAAAACTCCAGTCTAAAGGGTAATTCTCCATCTATAATCTCTATGTCTCGAGAGAAGCGATTGGTTATCCTTCCTATTGGCGTTGTTTCAAAGAATTCCATTGGTGAAGTAAGAATACTTGTCAGTAGTCTGTGATGTAAGTCTCGAGATGCCCTCACAACTCCAAACGCCATTAGTAAAGCATATGTCAGGAGGCATAGAGCTGGAAACAAATAAAAACATGGAAAAATGGTTTACGTTTTCGCAAATATTCGTTACAGGTGAGCCGAGGTGAAATTGGGCTTGAGAATATTTCGCTCATATGACGACGTGCATGAATGTATATGTATATGTGCGGCTGCTTGTACTAGCCCAGACTTAAGCTGGTTTTATAGTGCTAGCCCAATGAGATACCATGCCGCAGTGAAGCATGAATACCCCACTCAGACACATTATACTGACTCCGAGTCGACCAGTCCTTGCTGTACCCATAAATACCGAGCGCCAGGCAGGGACCAACAAGTACCATATTTTAAGGTCTTTTGGTATGACGCGGTTGGGGATCGAACCCGCGACCTTCCGCTCTCCGGGCGGACGCTCTAACCACTACACCACGGAGGCGGTCAGATGTTCGTTACAAGTATGTATCATCAAAACAAGTACTTACTCCGACATAATGCTCGAATGGACAACACAAGGACAAAAATTATACTACAAAATATTGATTTTTTTACAATCTTGTTTGATTTTCCTAAAATCCTCTGAAATAATAATTGTCGACACAGGGTTAAAAATACACCAAAAAAGACTACCCACGGACGTATTTTTAACAATGCAGAAACCAATAGAAGGCCCGGTTAGAATCTAGGTTAGAATGATCCCCGAGCATTCTATCGTGGTACTATAACATATTGAGTCTAAAAGAACGGATTCTGTTTTAGTACAGATCCTTAATGCTCACGGAAATGTTTCGTCGCTTTTATCTATTATGAATCACTATCAAATAGTGGTGATACCAAATACGAAACTGAATGAGATCTAGTATGTTTGTCATTTATTTTGGATATTTTTATATATATTTTTAGCGCCATTATCGACCTACAGTCAGTGGACATTAGTATTCGTCACTGTGCATAAGTTCCATAGACTTACATGTTAATTTGGTGCAGCTAGAAACATTGTCTTGAATTTACTTTTCGTTTGATCTTGTTCATATTTTCCACATGTGTCATGAATCATATCTGCTGCAAAGACATAATTTCCGTTATATTTCCATTCATTATTTCAAGAATGACCACACTTTGAATGATGCGTGTCATGGTTATGACAATTTTTAACATGGCGGTCTATGGAGAAAGAATACACAATGGTGTATATATGTTGCTCATGTAACTGCAATGCGGAAAATACTTAAAGGAACATTACATGGAATGTATCTGTGACCAAGATGATTTCCTAACAACCTGCAAAACTGACAACCAAGTAACAAAACTGAATTAATGAAAATTACTACAGCTACACTACAATAACATGCAAGTCGATGAGAATTGTGCAAACTGACGAATACGTCTGTCCCATGACTGTACATGCCCAAGGCGCATAGTACTTAAACGGCGTGGGCGTCGTTAAACCAGTTTTGAACTAGTTACTTGTCTGGCTGTCTCAGACTCCATATGTACCGCTCGGATCCGTAACGAGATCGGTGGTTAGGTTCGCTGACTTTGTGACACACGTCATCGTATCCCAGTTGCGTAGATCTATGCTCATGCTGTTAATCACTGGGTTAGCTATAATAGCTGGAATATTACTTGAGTGTGGTGTTAAAAACAAAGCAACCAATGTACAGATCGCAGTCACATAATTAGATTACTACATGCCTATACTGCAACGAAAAAATAATAACAAAGGATTTTGAAATGATTTTTAAAATGTATGTTAACAAAATGAAAATATTAACAATACTCACACATGATCAGTCCGAGCCAGCTGTAAACTGCAAGGTATTTCATGTTGGTCCTCCATATGTCCTCCCGCGATACATTTCCATGGTCCTCTGTGCTGACCTTCTTCAGCAAAGGGTCCTCGGTCCAATTAGCGAGCCAGATGTTGGCCCCCATAAACAAGATATAGTAGAGCGCAAAGGCAACAGCCAGTAGAAACATATACCGCTGCCCGAAGGCTTTCATATAGTCCAAAAGCAGGTTCCATTTTTCCTGTATGTGTAAATAAAATAAAACAAAATATACAGTAATCAGAAGAAAGAAAAGCATAAATACTACACTACATTTGAAAATGTCTTCCTCCTATTTCGACCCGTGAAGATCCGGGGTAGAATAGGTTTTCAGCAACCCATGCTTGCCAAAAAAGGCGACTATGCTTGTAAGAGGCGACTAACGGGGTCGGGTGGCCAGGCTCGCTGACTTGCGCAGATCGATGCTCATGCTGTTGATCACTGGATTATTTACAGACCATATAGCTGAAATATTGCTGAGTGCGGCGTAAAACTAAACTCACTTTACTCCTTACTTACTTTCGAGATACTGCCGTGAAGGTATCGCGAACGTTCCACGAAAGCTGCTCGAAAGTGGCACGAGTAAGCCGCGAAAGTGGCGCAAAGATACTCGAGAATGCGGAGCGAAAATGGCGGGATAATGACGCAATACGTGGCGCGACAATACATATTGAGTCTAAAGAACGGATTCTGTTTTAGTACAGATCCTTAATGCTCACGGAAATGTTTCGTCGCTTTTATCTATTATGAATCACTATCAAATAGTGGTGATACCAAATACGAAACTGAATGAGATCTAGTATGTTTGTCATTTATTTTGGATATTTTTTATATATATTTTTAGCGCCATTATCGACCTACAGTCAGTGGACATTAGTATTCGTCACTGTGCATAAGTTCCATAGACTTACATGTTAATTTGGTGCAGCTAGAAACATTGTCTTGAATTTACTTTTCGTTTGATCTTGTTCATATTTTCCACATGTGTCATGAATCATATCTGCTGCAAAGACATAATTTCCGTTATATTTTCCATTCATTATTTCAAGAATGACCACACTTTGAATGATGCGTGTCATGGTTATGACAATTTTTAACATGGCGGTCTATGGAGAAAGAATACACAATGGTGTATATATGTTGCTCATGTAACTGCAATGCGGAAAATACTTAAAGGAACATTACATGGAATGTATCTGTGACCAAGATGATTTCCTAACAACCTGCAAAACTGACAACCAAGTAACAAAAACTGAATTAATGAAAATTACTACAGCTACACTACAATAACATGCAAGTCGATGAGAATTGTGCAAACTGACGAATACGTCTGTCCCATGACTGTACATGCCCAAGGCGCATAGTACTTAAACGGCGTGGGCGTCGTTAAACCAGTTTTGAACTAGTTACTTGTCTGGCTGTCTCAGACTCCATATGTACCGCTCGGATCCGTAACGAGATCGGTGGTTAGGTTCGCTGACTTTTGTGACACACGTCATCGTATCCCAGTTGCGTAGATCTATGCTCATGCTGTTAATCACTGGGTTAGCTAGTTATTTACAAATCGCCGTCTAATAGCTGGAATATTACTTGAGTGTGGTGTTAAAAAACAAAGCAACCAATGTACAGATCGCAGTCACATAATTAGATTACTACATGCCTATACTGCAACGAAAAATAATAACAAAGGATTTTGAAATGATTTTAAAATGTATGTTAACAAAATGAAAATATTAACAATACTCACACATGATCAGTCCGAGCCAGCTGTAAACTGCAAGGTATTTCATGTTGGTCCTCCATATGTCCTCCCGCGATACATTTCCATGGTCCTCTGTGCTGACCTTCTTCAGCAAAGGGTCCTCGGTCCAATTAGCGAGCCAGATGTTGGCCCCCATAAACAAAACATAGTAGAGCGCAAAGGCAACAGCCAGTAGAAACATATCCCGCTGCCCGAAAGCTTTCATATAGTCCAAAAGCAGGTTCCATTTTTCCTGTATGTGTAAATAAAATAAAACAAAATATACAGTAATCAGAAGAAAGAAAAGCATAAATACTACACTACATTTGAAAATGTCTTCCTCCTATTTCGACCCGTGAAGATCCGGGGTAGAATAGGTTTTCAGCAACCCATGCTTGCCAAAAAAAGGCGACTATGCTTGTAAGAGGCGACTAACGGGGTCGGGTGGCCAGGCTCGCTGACTTGCGCAGATCGATGCTCATGCTGTTGATCACTGGATTATTTACAGACCATATAGCTGAAATATTGCTGAGTGCGGCGTAAAACTAAACTCACTTACTCCTTACTTACTTTCGAGATACTGCCGTGAAGGTATCGCGAACGTTCCACGAAAGCTGCTCGAAAGTGGCACGAGTAAGCCGCGAAAGTGGCGCAAAGATACTGAGAATGCGGAGCGAAAATGGCGGGATAATGACGCAATACGTGGCGCGACAATATTGTCAATATAAGCTTAAGTAACTTATTAAATGTAATGTAGGTAACATGATCGCTCTATTGACACACGTGGTGCATGGAGTTCACAGACAAGGTCATCACCTAGGCAATGCTTGGAAGATCTGTTTCACTTATCCCTAACATTTGGATTTAATTCCTTATACATAAGATTTATTGTATTGTGTAATCGTTTCATACCTTCCCGCTAATGTCTGTCGTCTCCTCCACATCAATGAAAGCACCAGTAGCACTATGAGTCTCCTCTGAGATAGACAAGTTTCTGGAAGACTGTCTGGACGTCCTCGATGTCTGGCGTTCGTATCCAGCTGGAGGCATGGGCGACTGCCCCTCACTGAAAGTACATGGTTGCAGTAGTTATCTCAAATAAAATTACAGCAAATTTAAATGATGTATGTATAAAGTGCAATACAGCCATAACATAATTTTATAAAACATGAATTCGATATCAAAACATAATTGCTAAAATTAATGAGATCGCGAAGCAGGAAGCGGACAGCAGTTCAACAGTCTGCACTAATTTGCCTGGGTCTGGTCTTGGGGCATTTTGAATCTCTTTAGGAAGACAGTCCGACTGTATTGATGAAATATGTAATGTGTCGAATATCAGAAACTTGCATTTGGGCATGATGTGATTCTCTTTTAAGCCTCCATTATTATGCAATACACTCCAACCCATGACCACACGCAACCTCCAGTAAAGCAGCACCTTATATAATGAGTGATATGTATGTATGTATGTATGTATGTATGTATGTGTGTGTGTATGTATGTATGTATGTATGTATGTATGTATGTATGTATGTATGTATGTATGTATGTATGTATGTATGTATGTATGTATGTATGTATGTATGTATGTATGTATGTATGTATGTATGTATGTATGTATGTATGTATGTATGTATGTATGTATGTATTTATGTATGTATAAATGACTAGGAATGTCAAGAATACTCCTTAAGAGCAATATACATAAAACCACATGTATGTGAACATGGGTAAGCAGACCATCATCATATAACACAGTGATGTGACTGACCAGTAAGTATATCAAAAGGCATAACGAACCTTTCCAACCTCTTCAGTGTACTCTTCAAATCGTTTGATAAATCATCATGGTCATTTTGCAGATCTGTCAAAGAAGAACATTCAGTTCTTGCATAAAATATACTCTGTTGTCTACGTATTAGGACGTTTAAATGAACCAAATCTTGTTCTATTAACAGAACATTCAGGTTCCACTACAGTGCAATATTTCAAAATGGGTATAAACTTGACTTGTGTCACATATGCGCTGTGCACATATTATCAATTTTCAATTAATCCGAGTCTTGCTCTAGTTGCAGAAAATTCAGTTTTCAGAGCAGTGCACTGATCTTGAACTGGATATAAAACTGACTTCATCAAACATACGTTGTGTACGTTAGGACGTTTCCATGAAGCTCTTGCTCTGGTTGCAGAACATTCAGTATGTTTTTAGTGCAGTGCACTGTCCTAAAATTGGACATAACCCTGACTTTGTCAAATACACGGTGTGTACGTTAGGGCGTTTCAATGACCAGATTCTTTATCTAATGGCAGAACATTTAATCATCACTACAGTGCCATATTTCAAAATGGATATAACCATTGCATGCTGTGATGTTCAACGAATCCGAGTCTGATTCCAATGGCACACTTTCAATCTCTGGTTCGTGTTGTGCAGGTAGCAAATAGTTTTCTCTTTCCGTAAAAGTTGCGCTAACAACAGGTATACATTCTCTGATGGTGTTCGTAGACCTAAGAATTCTTAACTTTGATCGTAGCCAATGTGTTAAGAATGGGCTTAAGAAGTTCGTAGGGCTACGAACGTTTCGAGAATAGTTAGGCAGATGTGTAAACTGAGGGGAAAAAGGAAGCATACTGTGATCGTTTTTCATGTTAATGGAATTTGAAAGATATGTTAGTAAATTTGATAATCATCACTTGTGGCTGTTTTCGTTTGACAAAAATATATCTGTGGTATGACTGTGCTAGGAAATGAATTTTTGTTATGTTCGATAGGTAAATTTGTGCCCCCAAAAACCTTTCTATTGATTTTGAAACGAGTTATAAGAAACACGTTAGCAGTTGGGTGCTATGACCTCCTTGAACACTCTTATACATATGTTTAAACATTTTAAGTTAGGATTTTAATTTAGATTTTATTTTTGAAAAATATAAACATGTAGGAGTATTATATGAGTGCTGCCTATGCGCCATTTTCTTTCATTTTGGGATACAAACATAGTAAAAAATATTTTGACCAACCCATTATAAGTTTGTGTCTGTGGATACACATTTGCTTTTACCCAGGTAGACATGTTAAGTATATCCGTTAATATCAAAATCTGAGCGTTACATATCAGCCATTGCAGTCTTTCAAGGACATAAAATTATATTTTTGAACACTTTGTTTCTTATGACACTGTACCTCCAATATCCTCTCTATTGTCCTCGTACTCTGCGAGGTACGACTTGAGAACCTGGGTAAACGCCCCTTCACTTTTAAGAAGATCACTGAAGGACCCCGTCTGTGCCACCGTGCCCTCCGCAAGGACGATGATGTTTTCAACGTCAGGTAGATATCTGATGTTGTGCGTTACCAAGATTCGTGTCTGTGTAAACAACAAGTTATGAATCTAACTTATGAAGCTATTAAATTACACACTTTAAATGTATGTTTTCAAACGGTGTAAAAGACAGCACATTTCAAGTAGGTGCAAGGTCACACATGTCACACATGTCCCCGCGGGACTTACAGGCCATATTAAATTTGATGCATACCTTCCTTTTAGTCAGTCTAAGTAAACTTAGGCTCAGTATTATTCGTAACACTGTTATAATGAGTCGAACAAACCCAAGTAGAAGGTCGCGTCAGCTAACCTTTTGGACTGACCAATCAGAACACAGCTTACCAAATCGCGAAAGTTAACATTCCTACATACCGTTTGAACCTTTACTTAACAAAACTCGAACGATTCCGAATGCTATTTTCCGCCCGATCGCTTCCGAGTGATACACATGGAGGACGCAATGTGTAAACTGTCGCTGAAAATAGCGTTTTTGTCAATATTTTAGGATGTCATCTTGCGGAAGTATAAGCTAATAGTAACCATGTCATTAGAAACCCCTAAGCGTATATACTGCAGGTCAAATATCTGTGTTTTATGCGGATTTTCGTTTGTTGATACATCAGTGTCACCGACCAGGGAAGAAAAAATCCTAAAAACGTTTTGTAAGTCCCGCTGAACCCAAACAAGTAGTCGTTTGTCTGATTAGTTAGTCGTTTGTCTGATTAGTTAAATCCGTCCGGCCGTCTCGTGTTTGATTGGACGGTCATAGATCGCTCAAAGGTTAGCTGACGCGACCTTCTAGGGTTTGTTAGACTCAGTATAGCAGTGTAACGAATAATACTGACCTTAAGTTTACTTAGACTGTCAATATATGGTAGGGATAACTGTTTTTGTTATATTATTTTCGGTTCGGTGGTGTTTCATGCCAGTAGCCATCATTAGGATAAATATGATCATAACAGGGTCTTCCATAGAACCAACCTTGTCCTTTAACATGCCGTTGGAGCCGATGACTTTGTCAAAAATGTGTCTTCCCACTTGGCTGTCCACGGCACTGAGAGGGTCGTCCAGGAGGTATATGTCTGCGTCATTGTAGACAGCTCTAGCTAACGACACCCTCTGCTTCTGTCCTCCACTCAAGTTGATTCCCTAATGTCGAGATAGGACATACGTGGTCTTATTTGCCTATGTATTTTGCTGAAATCAGCGGTATGGCAGTTACTACATTTAGACTGGGAATGAAGAGCAAACTGGACGTTTCTACAACAGAGAGACCAACCCAGCGTTGGATAGAATCTTCCAGTAAGTATACTTCCCATCAGAAGTTTAGACTCACTAATGTAGATATAGCCACTAACTTCAGGCAAGTGTTCTAAACTAAATTTTGCTAACTATTCCATACTGTTTACAGGTACTGTTTACACATGAACTGATGTATTGTAAAGTCAACCAAGTTGGGAAATTAAACAAATTTGTAACGTTGAAAATATTAAGGTCATGAGTTCAATAAATGATAAAAATCAGTGAAAATTTGCGAATTCTTAGCAACACTTTACACCAAAACGCAGCTGTTCACATGAACAATATTTGCACATGCTTTTCAGCAATCTGAAGCATGATCCTCGTGCAATTCATCTGCATACGGTTTGCAGTTGGTTTCCCCAAGTTAGTAAAAAAATCAATCTTCGAGATACATATATATGCATATATAACATATAGTGAGTGTTTTAAGTGAGTCTAAACTTTTGATGGGTAGTATATTTAGACTAACATGCATATCATCTCTCGCATTATATATGTAATATCAGTAGCCTGTGAAGATTGTTTGTTTCACCCTACACATCCAGTTATGGTTAGTTTTGGAAGCCTCAGGGTTAGTCTACCCGTTAATTTCTGTTACGTTTCGCTCTCTTAAAGTCATAAAGTGTTTGATGCCTTCTTCAGATAATTTCAAATTTTAGTAATGCCATCCCAAATCTGAACTGACCCTCTCTCCAATCATTGTCAGGTCTCCATCAGCCAGAACGTCAATATCAGGCTTTAACGCACAAGCGTGGATCACCCTCTCGTATAGTCCCTTGTCCAATGGCTTGCCAAACAAGATGTTGTTCCTCAAGGTGTCGTTCTGTATCCATGCTTGTTGTGGAACATAGCCCACACGACCCTGTATGCAAAGCATGTGAGTGAGAGAGTGAATGTTTCAATAGGTTTCTTAACAATTCAATTAGATATGCCTGTCTTAACACAGTGATATGTGTCTACTCAAGTTAAGACCATGGAAATCAACAGCAATAACATGCGCAAAGATATCATAGTACGATGAACGTGAAAATTAATCCGGTCAGCACCATGAGAATAGTGAGTGAGTTTCCTTTTACGCCGCTGTTAACAATATTCCAGCAATATCCCGGCGGGGGATACCAGAAATGGGTTTCACACAATGCACCCATGTGGGAATCGAACGCTTTAACCACTAGGCGACCCCACCGCCCCTTCATAAGAATAAAGGAGACACATTGACTAACCTGCACTCCAATGTGACCCTTTACCTTGTCAACCTCCCCAAGAACAGCAGCGACCATGGACGTTTTACCACTACCGACGTGACCTACCACGGCAGCTAAACTGTTCTCGTGTATGCTGAGGTTGATACTGAAAAGATAGAGCATTGGTCAGTATTGAGACGAAGAAACATCCAAAGAAAGATTTACTAGGATTTGTGGGAATGAAAAATCCAGGTTGAGGAAAGCACTTGGCCATTATTCTAAAAAGGTATGTGATGACGAAAATGTATAGTTCATAAACTATTTCCTTTTCCTGTCATAAAATCTATCTAAAATAGATCATCAGCCTCTAGCACAGGATAGTATGTAAGACTTGTTTTGTTGTAAAACGCCATTGATCACCAATCTATTCTGCCATTAGGCAATTGTTTTATGTCAATTAACAATTATTCATATAAATATTATATTTGGAAGAATCATATCAATCCAAGAACACTACTGTCAAATGCATCAATATGACATAATAGCAGGTCATTCAAATAATAAAGAAGCTTGAGGCATACAAATTCCCATAGGTACTGAATACTTCTGTGTTAAGCGAGGCGGTACCCGTGAAGGTCCGGGTTAGAAAATTGATCTTCAGTAACCCATGCTTGTCGTAAGAGGCGACTAACGGGTTCGGGTGATCAGGCTCGCTGAATTGGATTACACATGTCCCAATTGCGTAGATCGATGCTCATGCTGATGATCACTGGATTGTCTGGTCCAGACTCGATTATTTACAGACCGCCGCCATAAAGCTGGAATACTGCTGAGTGCGGCTTTAACCAACAACCAACCAACCACAGCGAGGCGGTGAGATGGGGACAAGGGACTCACTTGCTAAGTACTGGCTGGTTGTTGTCGTCCCAAGATAAAGAAGCATTCCTCATTTCTATTGCCACACCTGCAAAACGCACATTTTATAAACATTATGGTTTAGATGAACGCGTCAGAATATAAATATTCGCCAGACTCGACTAACGGGATTGGGTGGTCAAGCTCGTTGACTTGGTTGACACATGTCATCATATCTCAATTGCGTAGATCGATGCTCATGATGTTTATCACTGGATTGTCAGATTCCAATTTTCGTACCGCCGCCACAAAGCCGCAATATTGCTGAATGTGGCGTTAAACAACAAATAACAAACAAACAAACGACTGATGTCAATACTCAAGGGGTAAACACCAAGCACACTACATGTTAGTATATACGTTTGGTAAGAATGGCTGTTGATCAGCGCACAAGTCATGACAAGAAGGACTTGGATTGCTGTTACGGATAATTATACACGTTGTATTAGAGAAACAATCTACTTCCTTCATAGTTTTGTCAGAACGATGTATGTTTTCGTCAAGGTGTACTAGTATATGAATTTACCATTTGTATTATCACATTGATCATGGTTGGCACCAAATTCATCTTCCCTGAAAAACTCCTGGAGTCTCTTGATGCTGACGTCGGCCTGAAACAAGTTTCAAACAAAAAGTTTTCTCCTTCTTTCTCCTTCTCTGTCCTGTCAAAAGATTGGATTATTCCCTACTTGTAATTAGTTGACAGGTAATATTATGTGTAATCCAATATGGCCGCACTTCCTGTTTACACCGTTGACCTCAAACACCACTCCAAGCTGTAAAAGTGGTAAGTATTCATTAAAAACGGTTTAATAATGTTCCAGAAATATTATATCATATGAAAAGCAATCCAAATCACATTATATCATTCATTATTTTGATCCAAATGACATTATAAATTTCCCAATGTCAAGACATGTTTAGCACCATTCGTGACCAACTCGTGTTTTTCCGGGACAAGCCGAATTCTTGGAGGTTACGGAAAGAGACGAGTGGTGACGAATGGTTTAGCACCAAAGGTTTCATGCACTGTCTAATTCTTTGGAAAACAATATGTAGAAATTTTCACACATTAAGTGTTAATGTCTAACACTTGTACGATATTGATTCTAGTTGATAACTATAAGCAAATTGAATAATTTTTGTAAATATTTGCATATAAAGACTGCAGCAAAACTGTCAATCAAGTGTCTTAGATACTATTCACCTTCAACTTCTCACATATATTTTTTCAAAGCAACATACCCCGGTGGTTCATATACTTTATAAAGCATGATTCCCTCAAATTCAAATCCAACAAATCTGAGAATGATAACTGATTAAATTGTACAATATAATTGTTCATTTATTTAGATGAATTCTCATAGTTGGAAATATAACTTTATAATTTTTTCCTCAAACATCAAATATATCCTTATTTTCCCCTTCTCCAGGACATTTTGCCTGGCACTTTCTTCTACTTATTCATATTAATTTGTAATGTTTATGATGTAAAGAAACGTAAATCTTTACAATCATTTTTGAGGAATAATGCATAAAAATGAAAAATGAATGTTAGGCACCTTCTCCAGAACTCCAAAACGGAATTTGGAAAATACATTTGCGGGTGGGGGTGTGCACCCCTGCACAGTATAAGAAATAGTTTTGCCAGCCAGTTGGGCTAGCTATGCCTGAAAGTTACTAGCCCACAAAATAATTCACTAGCCCGAAATTTGACTGTAGAAACTAAGCTGAATATTACAGAAAGGTAAAATGCCATCATTTATCAGACCATAATCTTGCATGATTTAAAAGTGCATTATAACTTAACAAGTCAGAGAGAGTGATATATTTGAAAAATGAACCCATGAAATATTCACTAGCCAGTTCAACTAGCTAGCAGGCCAGTGGCCATTTCGCACACTGGTTACGTGTTATTACCCTTTGGCACATATACTCATGCCAATAATGATTGTCACACCCCTCCACACACACACTCCCCCCCCCCACACACACCTCACCCCCACCCCTCTCCAATTAAAAAATTTAAGGGGGTGACAACCATTATTGGCATGAGTATATGACAAAATACACTTGCCAGGATAATGGACTTAAATTGACAATGATGTAAGTGTATTTCCACAACATTTCAAAACATACACAAAATAGGCTATGAATACACAATGCCAGAAAGTGTGCTTTAGAAAGTGGTCAAATGTAACATATGTTATATTTGGGATTACTGTGGGTGAGCGGGTTAGGCGACTGACCTGGGGGGTTAGGTGCCTGACTGAGGGTGCGGGTTCAAATCCCGGATGGGACGTTTTTGAGAAAGTGTAATTCAAACATGTAACAAACTAGGCTTACATATAAATGTCACCAAATGATTTAATATAATTAGAATCACTGGATTATTTGGTCCAGACGCCAATTATGTACAGCTGGAATATTACTGAGTATAGCATTAAATGAAAGCAAACAAACAAACACAATATACCTGGAAATGAGAGCTTTTCTAAGAATAACAATACTCTTCCAAACGTCAAGAAATCAGCTTTTATGTGCCGTAAAACCCTGATACCTGAGAAGATTCGGGTTAGAATTGATCTTCAGCAACCCATGCTGAGGCCACTGGCGGGATCGGGTGGTGAGGCTCGCGGACTTGGTTGACTCATGTCATCGTATCCCAATTGCGTAGATCGATTTTCATGCTGATGATCACTGGATTGTCTGGTACAGACTCGATTATTTACAGACCGCCGCCATATAGCTGGAATATTATTGAGTCCGGCGTAAAACTATATTCACTCACTCACTCACGTAAACCGTGATGTTGCATTATACTTTTAATTTTAATAAATTGCTCTTGCTAGGGGCTTTAGATACGGAGTCATGAAATATGTTCCGAACATAATATTCAAAACAAGACTGTATGACTTGTCTCATTCACCAAATATGAACGTTTGCTTACTGCAAACCCTAATCACGAATTATATTTTTATATTTTAATGAATCGCCCGGAGTCATGAAATATGGATGGACATACGTTGCTGCACATTATTCTGGCTGCCAGGCCATCTCCCCACTAAGTTAGTACACAACGAGGCAAAACGGTCAATTCCAGTACAATTACATGCAGCTGGTGCATACAGCAACCACTGCCAATATTTGCTAGACAATACTGCCTTCCTCTTTTCTATCTTGGCAGGCGGTGGTATACAAATATTTCTTCCGTGTCAATGATATTGAAATTTTGTCCTTACCATCTGTTGAGTTGCGCAATACAACTAGCTATATTGCTCTTTTATCCACACACACACGATATAAAATCAATATATTGATGTATGCTTTCACATCGCGTCTCTTTGACAATCAGCATTGCATTGAGAAAATGTACATTATCGTTGAAGGACAAATTAGCTTGTCAGCTGTCTTAATGATTTGTGGTATACAAATATTTCTTCCGTGTCAATGATATTGAAATTTTGTCCTTACCATCTGTTGAGTTGCGCAATACAACTAGCTATTTTGCTCTTTTATCCACACACACACGATATAAAATCAATATATTGATGTATGCTTTCACATCGCGTCTCTTTGACAATCAGCATTGCATTGAGAAAATGTACATTATCGTTGAAGGACAAATTAGCTTGTCAGCTGTCTTAATGATTTGTGTCATAAATACATACATTGCCTGCGTGCCATTAAGGGAGTAACTTATCTGACTTGATTTCAATGCTCAATTAAATCCCCCTAGTTACAAATTGATATAACGATTAATACAATAGTAGATATGCTTGAAATGTACGTGTCCCTTTATTGACACTCGATGGTACGTGATAATTAAGAAATATCGCTATTAACTATATTCCACGGTGTTCATAAATGTTTGTTTAAAACATACTGAGACTTTAGGATGTTAGTTTAATATCCACAGAAGTATTGTGTCTGGAACGAACTAGAGTTTCATAGGCACACTATTTTTTCCTTCCACTGGAAAATATATTTCTCGATTATACGTTTCACTTTTCCTTTCCCTATTTTGTCTTTTGTGAAACTCGGCATTTTACTCGTAATCAACGTGACTACATTGGTGATGTAGATAGAACATATACGTTTTGAAGAAAATGTTCCGGAAACGCCACGAGTCTTACATGGCCACAACATTGTTATTATCACACTTTCTGTTTTGCTTAAATTAACTGCTAACTTCCATTCTTTAGTATAGCCTTCTAAGATATTTAATTGACTTTGTAAATCAACCACAGTATCCGAAACTAAAATAACGTCGTCAGCACAGAGGAGCATTAGGACTTCTACAAGATCTGGGTACATTTGGATTCCATGTTTTCCACCTAAACTGATATCGTGATATAATTCACTAATAAAGAAGGAAATTCAAATTTGATATATTATCATCGTGTTAATATAGTAATTACATAGAACACAGCGTTCATGAATGCTTGACGTCACTGAACCCAACCCATCCCTAAGGTGACCCTACACACAAAAAAACAAACAATTCTGCCACATCTGTGCATTATGAATGCGATAACATTACGGCAGATTAGACATATTAATTAAACGCACTAAAACGTATATTGCAACGTGGACATAGATGTTTGATAGGCATGTAGAAGTTGGAAGGGTAATACAAGACACTTGATAAGGATGTACAACTTCTTTATTATTTCATGTACATACTATACATACCTTTGTAAAACAACTCTGTGGCTTCCTGTACATACTATATATACCTCTGTAACTATTGACTGTCATTCACCTGATGAAGGGGCAAGTATTAGCCCAGAAACGTCGTTTGTAAATAATATAGAAGTTGCACATCCATATCAAGAGTCTTGTATAACGTGGACATAGATGCATTTGCTTCCAGCAAGCAAACAATAATTGAGAGTGTACGATAAAGAAGTTGACAGTCATACATTCTCCCCTTTATTGTGTAATACTCGAAATGTTATCCAAAAGACTTACCTTAATGAGATCGAAGACAACTTCCGGTGTTTGGTTTATGGCATATCGGAGGATGTTCATCAGAGACACTATGGCGAAGGCTGATTTAGCGGTCAAAATACTATCTCCATTCAAGTAGAAAAACCCACAGAACATCACTATGGAAATCTAGACAAGGGGAAAAGATCGTAAGGAAATAAAACTTGGTGTTTCGACCACTATGTCTGAAATTCAGACTTAAACCTAGAAGGAAGATATTGGGCCCACGTGATCTGTATTATTAAAAAATAACGGAAAATGTCTAGAGATTGTTATGGAACTGAACTGTGACTGATATTAGGGCTTCCTGTTAATACGTTAAATGATTTGAACTTATAGCAACACCAAATATAGGGCAAACTTGCTCCAAATGTTGATGTATGAGGTTCCCGGAAGCGTTTCTCCTATTTTGTACCATCAACAAAGCTGACTTTCTTCAGGAATGGAGATAACAGTACGAATGTATGATATAAAATCAGGGTGTAATTGACAAGCTGATACGGAGAATTCATTTGAATTGCGAGAAATCAACTCCTCCAAATCCAAGTTTGCCATTCTTAATCTTCTATAAATTCACTATGTCTAAAAGCCCTTCAAAGATTTGATGTAAAACAGGGTCAAAATGTATATATTTAACATATGTTATATTTTGTATTATGTTTTCTTAGTAATGTACACATCCTGATACTTTGGGGATGGATCCCACACTCTTGGCAAGAGGCACCCAATCGTCAGCGCACTCAGCCGCCCATAAGTACAAGAGTCCAAAAACTGGTCGTCTAGACCACATACTTTCTGAACCCCTCGAACAAATGTAAGTTGACACGGATCCAGTGGCCAAAAGCTATGGGTACACAATGCCTTTCAGAAAGTGGTAGAATGGAACAAACGTAAGTATATTTTGGATTACGCATTATATGTGGCAATGGGGAGCATGGGCGAGGTTTGTCTCTAAAGTATGAAAATACATTTGTAGAGTCACAGGCCGTGTGACCGTACAGAGAGAATCATCAGAAAGCTGTGATTCATGGGTGATTTTGTGTAAGATTTTTGTTTCTTTTAAATGTACATCAATCCAGTATTTAAAACTTACCAAATTTTCAAAATTAAGTTCTTTCGTTAATAACATGAAGACTTGGACTGAATGTGACCACAGTTATTTTCAACCGGTGGGCACTATGTGTGGGACTGTTTAGCTTCCTGTTCTCGAAAACGGTATCATACTTATTTATTGCTTCTTTGAGGCCGGGCTATCCAGAAATATACATGTAATAACTGTTGGTAGCTTAGTTATTTTTCGATTATAAAAAATATAACTTTACCGTAGATGTCAATGGGAAAATATTTGGCATATTGTAACCTCTGAAAGGGACCGTTTCTGGTGAAACCTATATTCCTTCAAGTTGGAACTGGTACCTATCTGGACAATGTGTTAACGTACCACAAAAGGTGCAGCGTTCCAGCTGAAGATGCTGAATGCCCTAATAGACAACAACTGCTTCAGGCCCTCCAACTCCTTTTCTCTGGCAGCATTGAGCTTGTCTCCAAAGCACTTCTCCCAAGCATAAAGCTTCAATACCTTGGGAGAAAAGACGTTGTGAGTGGTGTTTCCAAACATGTCGTTGTCACAAGATTGCAGCAGAAATACTAGCATGTGAACCGTCACGTAATATAATGTTATTCTTGCCAACATCTGCAGTATTCCAGCTTCATCATGCAAACGATCGAGGAAATTTCATTTCTAAAAGCAGAAGCAAAAGATTATGCTGTCAACTGACAGAGGCTGATGCCCAGTTTTTGTCATGAGGTACTGGGGACTGATTCTCTCCTGAGATACCCCATCTTGTCACCTGTTTAGAAAATCCTGAGGTACTGTGGACATTTTCCGCCCAGACATATCCGTTGTTGTCACCTATTAAGAAACCCCTCAGGTAACTGGGACTTAATTTGCCCTGAAATCCCATTTATTGTCACTAAAACGGTGATCATGAGGTACTGGGGATGTTTTCTACACTGGAATCTTCGTTGTTGTTGCTGCCTATTTAGTAACTCATGAGGTACTGGGGATGTTTTCTGCACTGGAATCTTCGTTGTTGTTGCTGCCTATTTAGTAACTCTTGAGGTACTGGGGATGTATTCTGCACTGGAATCTACGCTGTTGCTGTTGCCTATTTAATAACTCTTGAGGTATTCTTGACTGGAATCTTCGTTGTTGTTGCTGCCTATTTAGTATTCATGAGGCACTGGGGGTGTATTCTGCACTGGAATCTACGCTGTTGCTGTTGCCTATTTAGTAACTCTTGAGGTACTGGGGGTGTATTCTGCACTGGAATCTTCGCTGTTGTTGCTGCCTATTTAGTAAATATGAGGGGTACTGGGGACTTATTCTGCACTGGAATCTTCGTTCTGGTTGTTGCCGATTTGGAAACTCCTGGGGTACTGAGGTCTTAATCTGCCCTGGTGTCCAACAGGATACTTACATGTAATATAAGTATGCGCTAATCTATAATTTTTAAGGATTGGACAATTCACACAAAGGGCTTCAAGATCACTTGCCTAATAAGGATGCAGTTATAGCGTTTGTCAAGGAAATGACCAACATTTGAATATTATGATGCCACATGTCTTCAATAAAGTGAATACATATTGAACACATTTGCAGGTGCATATTTCCGTCCTCTTGTTTACATTTAGTCATGGCACATATGTCTCTGTCTCCACGAAATGTGACTATGGTGAAAGGTAGCAGGAAAAAATGATTTCGCAACGGAGCCACTTCTTTTGCAATCAGGCTATACCTTCGTTCAAAAACATTTTAGATGATTATCTCCATCATTTAACTTCGAAATACCTTCATTCCTGTAAGGACCTCGTTGAGAAGTTTCATCTTTTCATCCTTCTGTTTAGAGTTCTCTTCAATCAGAGATTGCATCCTCACAGCGACGTACGTATTGATGGGCATTATGAGCAAAATGACGAGGAGGCCAAATCCTGCAGATGGACCAAGGATGTTGAACAGCTGGTAGAAGACGACAATGAAATGAATCGGCGTGAATATGACCTCTGTAAGATGGGTGAGATGGTAGGCGATGGTTTCAGTATCGCTGGACATGTAGTTGGTCATTTCGCCCATGGAATATTTCTTCCTTGACCTCCAGTGGAGATTCATTGCCTGGGAAGAAACAGCAGCGTATAAGACTTGTGTGACAGTAATGTAGATTAATGCTGGTTAAGGTTAGAGAGAGCTGATTTAAAAGCCGCTTTAAAAAGTGTTCCAATTATTTTAAGGCGAGAAGTAATGTAGGTCTTAAAGGTGTACGCTTTTGTAAACTATACAGCTACGGGAAGGGCGCCGAGATATCATAACCAAGACGAAGCGGGATTCAAACCAACGGTGATAATTATTTTTATTGCATGATATTGCAGTAAGAGCCCACCTTCCTGAGAAAAGAGGACAGTGTTGAAGGGATAAGAAAGGCGCACCTGTGGATTTAATGGCCGAGGGTGTGGAGGTTCTTGAGGGCTACGCCAATTTCGAAATGGAATGTGCCTGAGTGACGAAGGACTTATAGATGCCAACATAGAAAACGTTTACTATTTTAAAATGCAAAGATGCAGTTCCAGAGCTTCATTATTGAATAAGCCATGTTGGGAAAGAAGACCCCTGTTACCATGCATAAACGAAAGAGTTTTGTGACTATCAGGCTAAATTTCCGTTACCTTCTTGAATACCGATGTTCATACAGAAGACCCCTGTCACCATGCATAAACGAAAGAGTTTTGTGACTATCAGGCTAAATTTCCGTTACCTTCTTGAATACCGATGTTCATGAGTGATGCCCGAAGATGCAGTTCCAGAGCTTCATTATTGAAAAATGCATGTTCGTTACCTTCTTGAAAGAAGAGACCCCTCTGTCACAAGAAGTACTAGAAGTGCTGCGATGTTCATAGAGAAACGTCACCCCCGTCCACACACTCTTGACGAAGGGTCATCAGCAACGTCCATCGAAAGAAATCTGAAATATGAATGTCACTTTGCATTAATACTTTCTTTAAATAGACAAACGTATAATTCAATTGTTACATATCATTTTCTGAAGTTTGAAAAGTGTAAATAAACAAAACATAACAATATAAACATAACAAAGAAAGGCTAACAGGATTGTGATCAGCTTGCAGTTTTCCATTTTTGTTCCATAAAGCATGACGGAGATGAGACACTTCTGCAACTATTCCCAAAGGTTTTGTAGAAATATCGTGTACTAATATAAGTCGAAAATGTACGTGCTTAATTATTTAAACTGAAACTGATATATTTTGTTACACGGTAGAACCATCATGTTGCAGTCTTCGTAAGTGATTATCACAGCTAATCCAAATTATATCGTTATCATCATAATAGTAATCAGATGTTCCATTGTTACATCTCTATATAGATAGTTTCCAAATTTGATAACTAGTTTAGAACACGCGTACCAGTCACAGGTGAAAAGTGACAAAATAAGTTTGACCCTTTTGATATTTGTGGGGCAAGACTAGACTACCAGTTGTCAGACTTCCATCTTTTGTTGAAAGTCGCGGTGGCTAAAGCTGAATGGATTAGATCACTAACTTTGTGTGCTGGGGAATCCCGGATAGGACTCGACCCCAAAAGTACTAGAAACTCTACTTTACTAAAAAAGCGTAATCGAAATATAACATATGTTACATTGACTTTTAAAATACATTGTTTATTCATCTTTGGGTAAAGTTGATAAAATGTATAAAAAAGCGTAACAAACAATCAGCCCACTGTTTGGTCTGGTGTGCTACTATTTTCTTACATCATGAAATGTGGGTTTGTGATCCAGAATGTACAATACTGCAGTAACCTCAGCCCCATCGCGCAGAAGAACTGTTTCCAGAAGGTCTTCAGTATGGCAGCCTTCAGAGATGAGCATGTGATACTCTCCCTTGAGTCAACATGATCTTCTCCCTTCCCCGAGGACGTTTCGTGTGAGTCATAAAAATGCCTTTCGTTGTTAGCATTGTGGGCTGGTAATTTTGTCTCAGTTTCTGAAATCTTTCTCTTTTTCCTGTGTCTGGTAGTCTCGCTGGAAGTGATGTTAGATGATGATGTTGGTTGGATGTTTCTCGATGTGTCATTATCACATCTGAAAATGAAAAAGCTCTCGTCAGACAAAGATTTTTTATTTATCAGATAGACTAATGACCAAACAATTCTGCACCTTTCAGTTGATTTCAGAATGTGTTTGACATGATATCAAGAGGTTGAAGTGCCAGCACTCAAAGAATACTTCAACTCAAACCACTAATACATAAATTGCAATTTGTTTCAAACATTCAGAATAATACAAATACAAATACGCACATATACACATGTGTAAATAAGTTGTGATAAGTTAGATTAAATTCGCTCTGATCATTTGTATTATGATGTACATGTTTCTCACAACTTAATAGGGAAACAAAGAGACAACATCAGAACCTCTTCTGTAGATCCATCCATTATGGCTATGGATGAGAATTAGTCTCACATATGAAACCACAGAATGCGACTCCGATAGCTTCCAGAGCTACAAACGGTAGCGTCTTAGATCATCAGTCCCTTCTTGATGATTATGACATGTTTTTTTTTAAAAGAACAATATTTCAATTATAACCTGGAGTGTTGGCATAATATGGGCGAAAAGCCAGAAGTAAAACAACGAACATGTATAGGTCTGAACAAATAGGCAAACATAATCACAGCCAATCTGGGATTTGAGCCAACAGTCGTAGGTTTCTGGCACGAACGACCAGCTCTGAAATTGTCACGACTGGTCTGTCCATGTCCGTTCTATGCAACCAGGAAACACGGTTCATTTCATAACTGAAAGACATGAATTCATTTGCAGATGATCCCCGTGGGATGCATCAGTGTTCGCGAGTGCTACATCCTCTAAGTCTTGAAGGTATATTTCGGTAAAGCTACACGAAGCCCTAGGACCATTCCCTCAGTTGGGATAACTTACCCGCCCTAAACAGTTTTCAACCAATCTAATGTCGAATGTCTAATAAAGGAAAGCGGAAAGAGGACTCGGGGGTAACTCGTTTAACCCAAAAACCAAAGCCACCTAGTGTCCTAAATGGACTTGGTGACATCTTTTCCTTTAAAAAGATTTTTGTGGGCTGGCTTTCTTTTGCATGTTGAAGTTAGTGAGCCAACATTGAACTTATCGCAAACTTGATTATATACTCTCTCAAAAAAGAAACGCATATAGAAATTTCAACTGTATTTTAATGTTTATTTTGAAACATCTTGTAGGCGTTATGAGTCAATGAAATATAGCGAAATTGCACACTGGGAATGCAGACATATCCGTCTTTGGCACCAACTCGAGGAAAGTCAGTTTGAGTGTCACATGGAGACGTGTGGTGGCGCTGAAGTCAATACCTCGTGTGACCACCGTGGGCAGTTCTGCACGGCATCGCCTCGGCATCGAACGAATAAGTCTCAGAATCTCGTGTTGCCCAATCGCAGCCCACTCTGCCAGTAGTGCTTGTGCGAGTTGCTGAAGTGTCTGGGGCTGAGGGTTACGGCGTCGCACCCGTCTGTCCAGGGCATCCCACAGATGTTCGATCGGGTTTAAGTCCTGTGATCTTGAGGGCCAGGGGAGCACATTGATGTTGTGGTTCTGGAGGAAGTCTCTAGTGTGACGTGCTGTGTGGGGCCTGGCATTGTCCTGTTGAAACAACTCCCTCTGGCGATCAATGATTGGAAGGAGGTGTAGGCGTAGGATTTCGTCACAGTACCTTTAGGCTGTCAGGTTGCCCTAGATCATCACCAAATCACTTCTCCTACGGCAGGTGATCTCTCCCCACATCATAACACTTTCCCGGCCGAATCCGTCCACCTAGGGAACGTAAGCGTCGGCGAAACGTTCACGTCGACGTCTGTACACCCGCATTCTTCCATCGCGTCGTTCCAATAGAAATCGTGATTCATCACTGAACCAGATTCTACGCCAATTCGGTAGATTCCAGGCCTGAACGTTGGTGCACCATTGAACTCGATGTCGACGATGTTGCTGTCGAAGCACGGGGCCAAAATAAGGTCTTCTGGCACGTCAACCAGCCTCTCTCAACCTGTTCCTGACGGTCTGTGCAGAAAGCCTCCTCAATCCGGTTATTTGTCGAGCGGTACTGGTCGCCGTAGCTGTTCGATGACGCAGGTGATGTACCCGGATGTAGCGATCCTGCGCCGCAGGGGTCGCTCGAGGTAGCCCGCTACGAGGGGCATCTGCTACCGCATTCTGCCGGCGATATCTCTCCCAGAGCCGTGAAATGGTGCTTTGGTGAACATTCATGCGTCGGGCAACTGCACGTTGAGACTGGCCAGCTTCAAGCAAACCAATGGCGATATGACGGTTGGCTTCACTTAGACGTGGCATTTTGCGTTCGTCAACAATATTCCAAATACAGTGAACAATCGACAGACAGCGATCAACCTTTTATACCCATCATTGAGACTATCTGATCCCCAACTTTCGCGTGCATTGCATGTGAATTGTGTATTCTGTGACACTACACGCCGAAATTGAAAATCATGCTGTTACATACGGGTATTTTACTGATGGTGCGTTTTGGTGTGATGTTTCAAACCATAAACACCATAGGACTCATAAACAGAGCAAAACCTTTTGTAACATGAATGACGTTTTAATTCATTGCTACATGAAATTGCTATTTTCATGATGCGTTTCTTTTTTGGGAGAGTATATATAGTGGAACTCGCCGCCATGTTACTCATAAAGCCATTTCAATGAGGTTGGTTTGTACCTCGCATTATGATTGGTACGTTCGAGCAAATAGCGCAGCCAATCAAAATGGCAAAAGGTCATCATGACCGGGAAATTTGAGATTGCAAGAATTATGGGAATGGATCCCAAAGTTGGTGCAGGCTTAGCACTGGAGAAATTGAGGGTGCGAGACATAGAAATGAATATTAAGTCCAAACGCAAATCTCTTTTGATCACATGAGATACTTTCTTCGGCCATTACCTGTGGGAGTCTCGCTTCAACCTTCCTGCTGCTAGCTGTCTTTCAAACCTTGGGCACACATTGCAACACTTATCTCTGGGGTTGATGTCCCAAACTTTGTCTTCAGTAAGTGTCTCTTCGTTTGCCTTCTTTACTAATCTGGAAAACAATTCAGAAAGTTAGTGACGTTAAATCTACGCGGCGGCTGAAGTTTCTGTTATGCAATTTCGTTTTGTAAATAATCAACTTTTTTTTTTGTCAGTCAAAGAGTGGATGGCATCATGAGCAGCGAACCAAGCCGGATAAACAGGATTCCAGACACAATCCTTGAGATCACATGAGAAGGCTGTTATGGATCTTCGTTCAAATACCAAACATGATCACGATACATCGAGTGAGTGGCTGAGTATAGTTTTACGCCGGTTTTAGTGATATTCCAACAATATCATGGCGGGGGACACCGGAAATGGGCTTCACACATTGTACCATGTATGAAATCGAACCTGGGTCTTCAGCGTGACGGACTGAAGCTTAAACCAATAGGCTAAAAAGTCATAAAGTTTTATGCCATCTGTTTACGGACATGGCTGTTTAATGTTGTTCTAAAAATTCCAAAAAAAGAGACATTTGCTTCTGATTGTGTGTTTAAAGCTGCACTCGGCAATATTCCTGCTGCATGATGTCAATATTCGATTCTGCGACAATACAGTGATCAACATCATGAACATCGATCAGCACAATTGGGATTCTGTGTCATTCATTAACCATGGACAATTACCTAGTATCCGTGCAAAATCACAACAATTGAATAAATTGTAGGTTTTGTATTAAAATGGACATATACGTACCCGTAAGACCAAAGGAAGAAGAGCTTGGACCATCTCGAGGCGGTTAACTCTGGACATGGCTCTAACTGAAGGTAAATAATGTTCTGTAATCACTTTATGTAGGTATTTATTACCGTATCAACCAACAGCGTCTCCAACCAGGAAATATACACCAATGTATGTTTTCTCATAAAACTACACACTCAGATAACGAAATTCTTATATTTACCCACCGCTTTAATCTTAACTGATTCGAAAATGAACAAACATGAATATTTACTTTATAGATATTGATTAATTACGATGTCTGGGTATATTTTCACCAATCACAATAAGATTCCGTTATAAACACACATCAATACCGTCTGTATTTACACTTTGTACCAGTATGTACTATTTGGTCCCCGTATTAACACACATCAATACTACATGTATCTACACTTTGTACCAGTCTGTACTATCTGATACCCCTATTAACACACAGCAGTACTACATGTATCTACACGTTGTACCAGTATGTACTATCTGATACACCTATTAACACACATCAATACTACATGTATCTACACTTTGTACCAGTCTGTACTATCTGATACCCCTATTAACACACATCAATACTACATGTATCTACACTTTGTACCAGTCTGTACTATCTGATACCCCTATTAACACACATCAATACCGTCTGTATCTACACTTTGTACCAGTCTGTACTATCTGATACCCCTATTAACACACATCAATACTACATGTATCTACACTTTGTACCAGTCTGTACTATCTGATACCCTATTAACACACAGCAATACCGTCTGTATCTACACTTTGTACCAGTCTGTACTATCTGATACCCCTATTAACACACATCAATACTACATGTATCTACACGTTGTACCAGTCTGTACTATCTGATACCCCTATTAACACACATCAATACCGTCTGTATCTACACTTTGTACCAGTCTGTACTATCTGATACCCCTATTAACACACATCAATACTACATGTATCTACACGTTGTACCAGTATGTACTATCTGATACCCCTATTAACACACATCAATACCGTCTGTATCTACACTTTGTACCAGTCTGTACTATCTGATACCCCTATTAACACACATCAATACTACAAGTATCTACACGTTGTACCAGTATGTACTATCTGATACTCCTATTAACACACATCAATACTACATGTATCTACACTTTGTACCAGTCTGTACTATCTGATACCCCTATTAACACACAGCAATACTACATGTATCTACACTTTGTACCAGTATGTACTATCTGATACCCCTATTAACTCACATCAATACTACATGTATCTACACTTTGTACCAGTCTGTACTATCTGATACCCCTATTAACACACAGCAATACTACATGTATCTACACTTTGTACCAGTCTGTACTATCTGATACCCCTATTAACACACATCAATACTACATGTATCTACACTTTGTACCAGTATGTACTATCTGATACACCTATTAACTCACACCAATACACCATGTATCTACCCTTTGTACCCGTCTGTACAATTATATATTTCAATTAACATACCATCTGTACTTACTCTTTGTTCCGGTCAGTACAATTATAGACTCCCCTTAACATACCATTTGTATTTGCCTTTTGCACCAGTATGTACAATGATATATACTCCCATTAACATACCATCTGTATTTACCCTTTGTACCGGTCTGTACAATTATATACTCTCATTAGCATACCATCAGTATTTACCCTTTGTACCGGTCTGTACAATTATATACTCTCATTAGCATACCATCAGTATTTACCCTTTGTACCGGTCTGTACAATTATATACTCCCATTAACATACCATCAGTATTTACCCTTTGTACCGGTCTGTACAATTATATACTCTCATTAGCATACCATCTATATTTACTCTTTGCACTAGTCTGTATAGTTATATACCTTAATTAACATAACATCAATATTTACCGTTTGTACCGGTCTGTACAATTATATACTCCCATTAGCATACCATCTATAGTCATCCTTTGTACCAGCCTGTTCAGTTATATACTCCAATCAACATATCATCTATATTTACCCTTTGTACCAGTATGTACAATTATATACTCCCATTAACATACCATCTATATTTACCCTATGTAGCCGTCTGAACAATAATATACCCCAATTAACAGACCATCTATATTTACCCTTTGTACCAGTATGTACAATTATATACCCCAACTAACAGACCATCTATATTTACCCTTTGTAGCCGTCTGTACAATAATATATCCCAATTAACATACAACATTACCATCTATATTTACCTTATCCACCATTCTGTACAGTTATATACACCCATTAACACACCATCTCTATTTACCCTTTGTACCTGTCTGCATAATTTATATACCCCCATTAACATACCATTTATATTTACCCTTTGTACAATTATATAATCCCATTAACACACCATCTGGATTATCCAACCTTTGTACCAGATTGTACAGCTACACACTCCCATAAACATACCATCTATATATTCCCTTTGTTCCAGTCTGTACAATTATTTATTACCCATATGGTGAAACATAGCCAGTCTCATATATATCATAATTATGTCTTTTGCCTAGCAACCATTGTTTCAGTATTTCGTCATCTGTGACGTCATTTAACAATTGAACGTGACGTCAATGAATAGGACCGCCACACTTGCTCCCTTGTTTTACTGCACAAATGTACATGAATAAAATGGATAATTAAGAAATTATTACACTCGAGCAAGTGTGTCATGTGACTTATGTGAAACTCGTGGAAAATTGTGTATTGCCCTTGCTCTCAGTCGGGCAATACAACATTTCACACTCGTTTCGTGTAAGACGTATGACAACCCTTGCTCGTGTAATAATCTCTTTCAATTCCATTAACATACCATCTATATTTACCCTACCTTTGTACTTGGGTGCATGATAAGCCAGGGTCACGATGACATGCGCGAGGTCAAGCTGCAAGCCCAATTCATTTGTGTAACAGTTTCTGAGCTGTAGTGTTAAATACCCTGTCGCGGAGTTGTGTCTCGGTGTGGTGCAATATATGAAGCCTAGGCTTGTCACTGTGACCCACAGTGTAGAGATTAGATGAACAACGGTGTAACAAGTGGAGTAACCACACTGTAAATTGTTGACCCCGATTATTTAATCACTGCCCACATGATCTGACATTTTGATATTGCCTCTCCACTTGGCCTGAGGGTTCTTCGCCACTCACTATTTTAATAGTGAACTGTTTTACTGGACAGAGCTTTGTCCCTGATTTAGCTGCTTTCTGATCGGTTAAGGAAAATCCCGCACAGTGACGCCACGCCGGCTGCTGGCGATAACACTGACTTACCAGGCGTGGTGCAATAACGGGGAATGCACTTGTTTAGAGGTGCCCGGCGCTTGGTATGAACACGCACTTGGCTGACTGCAACAATATATAAACTATTCCTCGAGCTAACATTAACTGTGTCAAAATAAGGGTTGTCTCGAGGTAAACACCAGGTCACTGCATATACCTTCTTAATTCATCATTTTCGGTTGTGTCGAGTGAGTGAGTTTAAATAGTTTTACGCCGCACTCAGCAATATTCCAGCTATATTGCGGCGGTCTGTAAATAATCGAGTTTGGACCAGACAGTGATCAAGAGCATGAGCATCGATCTGCGCAATTGGGAACCCATGACATGTGTCAACCAAGTCAGCGAGTCTGACAACCCGATCCCGGTAGTCGCCTCGTACGACAAGCATGGGTTACTAAAGATCAATTCTATCCCGGATCTTCACGGTTTAGGTTGTGTCGAATGTCTGGTAACTCGAAGTATTTAGATATGTCCCTTCAACTTCAAACAACGGCGTTTGAAAGTATGTAATTAAAGCAATGTAGATGTCATTAATTGCACTGTAATTAAATAAACCACTGATTTTGATGAACGGGACCAAATGCCTTATAAAATACCATTGGAATAAACGTAAATACAGGAGGAAGTGTATGCTATGACGTACGTTTCCCGTTATTTCCTAACTTTGGGCGTTTATTTCATATGAGTAAGTGAGTGAGTGAGTGAGCCACTTCTAGCAATATTCCAGCAATATCACGGCGGGGGACCCAGAAATTGGCTTCACATATTGTACCGATGTACGGAATCGAACGCGGGTCTTTGGCGTGACGAGCGAACGCTTTAACCACTAGGCTACCCCACCGCCCCTATTTCAAATGCTCATCATATGCACAAACACCTTTTTCATGTATGCTATTTGTAGACATAATTTCGTCAGGAATTGATACGTCAGGAAATACTGAATCTTACAGTATTTCCAATATGTTTCTTTTAATTGTAACATGTGTTCTAATTTCCGAGTCTTTCAATATGTATATTGAATACAAAGCTATGCAATCCTATTTCCAATACACCTTACAGTTTGCCAATGTCTGTACCAGCTGATAGTGATATTATACTATTCACACTTTGCTAAGGATCAAATCATGGATTCAACAGAAAACTATGATGTGGGGTCAAATTTGGTTTAAATATCTAAGCTTATTGTAAGCATGTATCCTGGGTTTAAGTTTGTCATTTCATCTTGTGGATCCCATACCTGCTTTTGACAGGTGTTGTGTACTTGTCAATGACTCGTTCCATGATTTGCAAAATGGCTGACTGGTGCCATGAAAACCATTTTTATGGTTACTCATGTATCAAGTGCATAAGGTTAGATTAAAGTGACTGTTTGCCTAAAGAGGGGTTACCATATTACAAGGGACAAAATTTCAAATTATGAATCTACGTCTAAGTAAAGCTGGGAATTCTTGTGATCCTTAGCAAAGTGTGAGTAGTATATGTAAATTGACAGTTCCTTCTCTGAAGTACGACTTATGCAGAAACCAGTTGATATTGGCCACATACATTGTGTTGTCTATAATAGGACTGTGAATTACCGACAATTCATATCGTGATACATATGTGTGATAAAGCTACAAATACGTTTAGATTAACTTCCCCGTGGCAACAAGCAATTAGATGTTCATGTCCTCGTTAATGGGCTATGACTTTGTTTACATACATTATCCGTGACACCGAGCTCCTGCAAATATAAAATTAGTAAAGTTTTACGCCGCTTTTAGCAGTATAAAGCAATGCCACGGCGGGGGACACCCGAATTCGGCTTCACACATTTTACCCATGTGGGGAATCGAACCCGTGTCTTCAGCGCAACGACAGGTCGCTTTAACCATTAGGCTACCCCGCCACCCTCTTTTGAATTCACGAGTCAAAATCAATAACTATGTCTTGGTCAAACACTCCCTGACTTACACGCCTGACATAAATGTAAGGAGAGGGTGAGTGAGTATATTTTTACGCCACTTTTAGCAATATTCCAGCAATATCACGGCGGGGGACCCAGAAATGGGCTTCACATATTGTACCCATGTACGGAATCGAACCCGGGTCATTGGCGTGACGAGCGAACGCTTTAACCACAAGGCTACCCCACCGCCCCGGTATAAAGGGGAGGAAAACATGTACTGCCTATAAAAATAAACTCTGAACTCTTTTACATTTTCAACATATAGAATTATTTACACAGCAGGAAGTGTGGAGGTTTTATGATATTGCCAACGCGAACGTCGATCATTAACTCACGCATGTTCAGCGGTAGTATAGCAATGATTGTAGGAGGGCTTCACTCTGTACAGTACAACCAGAAATTATTGAGAATTTAAGATTTTATTTTTTTAAAATTTTTTCACTCATTACTCACGTATTAAATGTGAATATTAGCAGAACATAACTCCAGATTCAAGGACAGGTGAACAGTTAGTATTTTGTCAAGTCACCATGGGCAGCAATGCAGGCTTCAATGCGGCGGGGCATACTACTGATCAAAGAAGTTAGAAAGTCGTGGTCCATGCTGTCCCAATATCAGACCACCTCTTCTTTCATTTCAGCAATATTTGTCAGATGTTTCTTATTGACACTTTCCTTCATAAGTGCCCAAACATTTTCTTTTTGATTTAGGTCAGGGCTATAGCTTGGCCAATCTAATAATGTCATATTTTGGGTCCGTAACCAGGCCTGTGAATGCTTTGAACGATGTTTTGGGTCGTTGTCCTGCTGGAAAATCCAAAAATTTCCATAGGACACTTTAGCAGATGGAAGTAAATGTCCCTCGAGAATATCTGTGTACCGCTCACTGTTCATATTCCCTTCAAATACACAGATGGGGCGTTGCCCCTAACACAGATAGGCCACCCCACGCGTTAAATTTCGGACTGTACTTTTGGGCGCTGATACAAAGGTTTTTCAGTTTGTTTGGTTAAGAATTTTAGTGTATTAGGAAACAGCCACACAGAACTTTCATCTGAGAAAATCACATTGTCCCAGTAAAAATGTCTATGCTGTAAGCACAAGTTTAACCTTCGGTCCTTTTGTTCAGGTTTCATGATCGGTGATGGAATTCCTCGACTTTTCTGCCAACCCATTGCATGCAGCACAGTTCTAATTGTCTCCTTACAGACAGCCACAGTTCCTCTATCAATCATATCCAGCCTTAAGTTTTCTAAACTCCTTCGGTGTTTTTTAGAAACAAGAATACCAAGCTGCCTCCTGTCACCGACAGTCAATTTTCTGGGCCTACCTGCGCCTCCCTGGTGCTCAATGCCATATCCATTTGCAATATTTTTCAAAACACGATAAACAGTGGACAAAGGGATGCCTGTTCTACTTCAAATCACTTCAGCTGATCTGATGTAATACTCTAAAATCAACTTCCTCTTCTCTAAATCATCCATACTGAGGATCACTGAAAATGTCGTCTGCTAGCAAGTAAACGAAGGGGGATAACTCTTCACAAACTAATGAAAAAGGATAAACGGAGTTGTCTCTTTTGAATGAAACCAAGCACTTGATAGCTGGTCAAGGTTGTTTATACTAGAAATCCAATTAAACATATTCCTACAATTCTCAATAATTTCTGGTCATACTATATCTGGAGATTCGTGTGTATGTTTGTCAAAAAAATACAAATATTTCAATTCGTAGAGAGTTGGCGACCGGTCTGTCCTAACACCATTGGCGGATCCAGAGAGAGAGAGAGAGAGAGGAGGGGTGGTGGGGGTGTTCAGGGGTTCGACACCCCCCTTTTTTTAAAAATTGACTTAAGACCACATTGGAGATTTTTTTCGCGTTGAGGGTTTCAGGGGGTTCGAGCCTCCTGACCCCCCAACCCCTTCAAAATTCCTGGATCCGCCCATGTAACACCTATATGTAATCCACTGCTACCAAGACTTCCATTAGCGTTCGCACGTCACACCGAAGACCCGGGTTCGATTCTCCACATGGGTACATTATGTGAAGCCCCTTTCTGATGTCTCCCACCGTGATATTGCTTGAATATTGCTAAAAGCAGCGTAGAACCATACTCACTCACTCACTCACTCACTCACTCACTTAACACAACTGGTGTTGCAGTCTTGTGACTTGGCGTGACTCTGGTATAGCACATAAAACGTAAAGTAAAGAAATAATCATAAACATAATCAAGTAAACATAATGGAATGGAACTTTTGATGCAAACCTGACATTATATTTTGAACCTTTGATCGTTACTAGTTTTAGGGCAGATTGCATGTGTTTCATGTACCCACCGTGATCTAAGGTTGGATGAGACGGTCGGTTTACAATTAACATTTTCTTTTAAAAATATACATTTCTTCATTTTAAGGTCAGAAAATACGACAAAACATCTGTATCTTTGATTCTGCTTAATTTTGCCTGTTTAGGAGTTACTATGGGAAATCTTCGTACTGAAAATAACAAAAGACAAAGAAAAGCCTTAAGAAACTAATTTATTCTGTTTTCTTTGGTATTCAGAAAATATACTCATGCCAATAATGGTTGTCACCCCTCCCCACCCCAACCCCCACACACACCCCACACCCCACACCCCACCCCACACATCCTCTCCAATAAAAAATTGAAGGGATGACAACCATTATTGGCATGAGTATATGATCACATACAGCAACATTTGTTGTCAAATTTGATTTTAAATTGATAGGACAGATTGCACAGCAAGCAATAACAAAGAAAAGCAGCAGAGAACATCAAATTAGATTGAATCAGATGTCACGCCGAGGCCCGGGTTCGATTCCCCACATAGGTACAATATGTGAAGCCCATTTCAGGTGTTCCCCGCCGTGATATTACTGGAATATTGCTAAAAGCGGCGTAAACGTAAACTCACACTTATTCTTTAATGCAATGAAATGTAAGAAAGAAGAATGTTAATATCTAGCGGTTAGCTTTCCTGGTAATTTAAACTTGCCCTCTGCTAATACTCTCCACTCCAGCACTGATACAGGAAGGGGGCAATTGAATGAGCAGTCAGTAGGGCCTGAGTTTGAGTCGACAGAAGTAATATCGATCGGCGGCCAATTTACAGTCGGTCGGGCGATGAGAAACAGAAATCAAAACGTTGCCCTTATGTCTAAAACGGGGGCATCCGACGTAACAATGTGATACTTCCAATGTGTTATAACAACCGATATTATGACGACGTGGTAACGTTAATATTCACTTTGGACTAAAAAGGCTTTGTTGGATACGGCTGTGAGCTGAACTGCGTAGGGCCGCTCGCAATCTGAAAAGTGTAAACGAGTAAGATTAGTAGAGTATGTATTGGTATGTAACCTAATACAATAAGAGGTACTAAATTTAATATGAACGTGTCTATGTCTGGCTGCCTATCCAAGTAAGGGTATACCAGTACGGTTTAAGAGAAAGCTTGATATCGCTGAATATTGTTAAAAGCGGCGTATAGTCATACTTGCTCGGTATCCCTACCTTCAACCCGGTATTTGCCTCGCTAGTTTACTCTCACTGACTGACTGCATACCTCACTCACTCACTTGCCCATCCGCTCGCCTGCCTCCAGTCCACAGGTGCACACACGTACGTATTCACGCACGCACGCACTCAAGCACTCGTATCTCTGTCTTCATCACTGACTCAAAAGACAGCGCACCCACTTATTCGTATATGTCTTCATCACTGACTCAAAAGACAGCGCGCGCACACACGCACTCAAGCACTCACTCACTTATATATATGTCTTCATCACTGACTCCAAAGACAGCGCACTCACTCACTCACTTGTATATCTGTCTTCATCACTGACTCAAAAGACAGCGCACCCACGTACGCACTCACTCACTCACTCGTATATCTGTCTTCATCACTGACTCATAAGACAGCGCATTCACTCACTCACTCACTCGTATATCTGTCTTCATCACTGACTCAAAAGACAGCGCACCCACGTACGCACTCACTCACTCACTCGTATATCTGTCTTCATCACTGACTCATAAGACAGCGCATTCACTCACTCACTCACTCGTATATCTGTCTTCGTCACTGACTCAAAAGACAGCGCACTCACTTACTCACTCACTCGTATATCTGTCTTCATCACTGACTCAAAAGACAGCGCACCCACGCACGCACGCACTCACTCACTCACTCACTCGGATATCTGTCTTCGTCACTGACTCAAAAGACAGCGCACTCACTTACTCACTCACTCACTCGTATATCTGTCTTCATCACTGACTCAAAAGACAGCGCACCCACGCACGCACGCACTCACTCACTCACTCACTCGTATATCTGTCTTCGTCACTGACTCAAAAGACAGCGCACCTACGCACGCACGCACGCACTCACTCACTCACTCGTATATCTGTCTTCATCACTGATACCCCAGATGGTCGCATACTCACGTCAACGTACCTGAGGCTTGCAGGCCAGAATGCCAGTGAGGATTGTGGACACCAGGGTGAAGATCCAGCCGAACACGATCATGACGATACCTCCTACCCCCATTCCATAGATAGACTCGGCTTCGGAGCATGCAGCACTGGAATCACCCAATGTACTGAAACCGAAAAGGGAATTGGTAAATGCTGTGGTATGGCGCGGCACTGGAATCACGTAATGTACTGAAACCGAAAAGAGAATTGATAAATGGTGTGGTATGGCGCGGCACTGAAATCACGTAATGTACTGAAACCGAAAAGGGAATTGATAAATGCTGTGGTATGGCGCGGCACTGGAATCACGTAATGTACTGAAACCGAAAAGAGAATTGATAAATGGTGTGGTATGGCGCGGCACTGAAATCACGTAATGTACTGAAACCGAAAAGAGAATTGATAAATGGTGTGGTATGGCGCGGCACTGGAATCACCCAATGTACTGAAACCGAAAAGAGAATTGATAAATGGTGTGGTATGGCGCGGCACTGGAATCACCCAATGTACTGAAGCCGAAAAGAGAACGGCCGAATGGAGTGGTATGGCACTGCTTTTGGCAGCATTCCTGGTATTTAAGTGCCAAAGTCATTTTCCACTAAAACGTTCGGGTGACTCACAGCATATGAGAAATATGTTAGTTAACCAAATAGGCATGGTATTTAGTATTAAAACCATTGTTTTTGTTCCGGGGTTTTGCTACTTTTTCAGTTCCCGGTTAAAGTTTGGCGGCCATCATGGGTTTTGAGCTAAAAATAGCTTTCGTATTATTATTCGGATTGGAACCAAACATTTTTTTAAACTGCTATAACATATAAACACAAAAGAATATATGATTTGCTTTCATCAAATTAGCTACTTGACTAACAAATATGATATTTTCATCCATGTAGATGAGGCGAGGTAAAATGGGGTTTAACGTCGTACTTAAGAATATTTCGCTCATATGACGACGTGCATGCTTGTGTATTTGTGGCTGTTTGTACTAGCCCAGACTTAAGCTGGTTTTATAGTGCTAGCCCACTGAGATACCATGCCGCAGTGAAGCATGAATACCCCACTCAGACACAGTATACTGACTCCGAGCCGACCAGTCCTTGTTGTACCCATTAATGATGAGCGCCAGGCATGTACCGACAAGTACCATGTTTTAACGTCTTTTGGTATGAGGGGCAGTGGGGTAGCCTAATGGTTAAAGCGCTGGCTTCTCACGCCGAAGACCCGGGTTCGAATCCCCACATGGGTACAATGTGTGAAGCCCATTTCTGGTGTCCCCCGCCGTGATGTTGCTGGAATATTGCTAAAAGCGGCGTAAAACCAAACTCAGTCAGTCAGTCTTTTGGTATGACCCGCTACCTTCCTTCCTCCTCATGGTAATAACAGATATATATGCGTATGTACTTGCTTTGTACATAACATTTTAGGGAGGGTCGATCACATTGTAGATGCTGCACAATACAAATCAGCATCTTTCCTTGTATCCGAATGTTGTCAACCACTGGATGGTCGCGTCCAGACTCGATTGTTTACAGACCGCCGCCATGTGGCTGGTATATTGCTGACAAGAAACAAACAAACAAACAAACATACCTGCATGATGGTGGATTGATGGAAGCCAGAGCACCGAGGGCAATGATTCCAACAATGGCGAAGATTCCCATCACGAGAAGGGTGAGTATTGAGAACACCATGTGGGCAATGTACTGAAACACGAAAGTGAGTGAGTGAGTATTTCTTTACGCCGTTTTAACAATATATCAGCAATATCCTGGACACAAAACATGGGCTTCACACATAGTACTCATGTGGGGAATCGAACCCGGACCTTTGGCGAGACGAGTGAACGGTCCCACTGAAGAAGTATCGATATATTGCCGAATCCATCTCCGTGGGCTCCTTCAAAACTTTCCATACATCTACAGTCAACTTGGAAGACCGGGGGTGGTGTGTGTGTGTGTGTGGGTGTGTGTGTGTGTGTGGGGGGGGGGCTGTTACAGTATTTCTGGTGTCCCACCCCCTTACATTCACTGCTGTGCAGGCCTTAAACCGAACTCACTCACTAAGTGGGGTTAGAGTAAGTGAGTTGAGTTTTACGCCGCACTCAGCAATATTCAAGCTATATGGCGGCGGTCTGAATAATAAACGAGTCTGGGCCAGACAATCCAGTGATCAACAGCATGAGCATCGATTCGCGCAATTGGAAACCGATGACATGTGTCAACCAAGTCATCGAGCCTGACCACCCGATCCCGTTTGTCGCCTTTTACCACAAGCATGTGTTACTGAAGGCCAATACATTCTAACCCGGGTCTTCGCGGGTCAACTGGGATTAGACTGTTTTGTTATACACATGCACCACCTAGCATATTCAAGAACACACACCGACCAGCTGCATTTGTTTAAACATTGGGCTTCGAAACCATATCTTGCGTGTAACTTTGATATCCCAAACAACTTAGTCACATAGTCACGAGCGTTCTACTTGACCCATGAAGATCCGGGTAAGATATCGAGTTTAGTCTTTAGCATCCCATGATTGTCATAAGAAGCGACTAACGGGGTCTGGTGGTCAGGCTTGCTGACTTGGTTGAGACATGTCATCGTATCCCAACTGCACAGATCGAGGCTCATGATTTCGATCCTTGGGTTGTCTGGTCCAGACTCGATTAGTTAAAGACCGCCTCATAAACTGGAATATTCCTGCGTTAAACAACAAACAAACAAACAAACAAACAAACACTGAGTCTACTTACGCCACCCTTGGCTCTAACCACCGTCACGATGATACCGATCACTCCAGGGATGATGTACTGAAAAAAGTGCCGATACATAAATTGGATAATAGATGGATGAAGAAATATTGTTTGAATACAAAAATTGGATGCAGTTCCTTACGTCCAAATAGAATTGGCATACATGCTAGCGTTTTTAGCAATAGAACTGAAATTCCTTACTGCAAAACCCAGGGCCCACACAGGTTGGTCTGAGAAGGAGATGTTGTAGTCGGTTTGAGTTTGAATCAACTCTTTCGCCTTATTTAAGAGGGCACCGATGAGGGAGCTCATGATGACGCCTGTCAAAGAAAGATAATGAGAGTGAGTGAGTTTAGTTTTACGCCAATACGACTACGGCTACAACTTATATCTGAATATAACAGAAATGAAGTGCTTAATCGTGATTGGACACGTAAGAACGGATGTTGTCAAAAGTTTGACGCAACGTCATTCATGAATTATGACGTTATGACGTCATTTTATTTGGTTTTATTTGTCGGAAATGATTAATTCGTGAATTATTCTCGGAGGTCTCTAACAAATTGGTGTTGATATCCCTAATTATTAATCATATGCATAATTTCTTATTGCGTGTTATCTATAAGTTAGTTCTTTGTAATAGTTACAGTGGAATATAACTTTATATTCTTTTTAATAAATCACACATTTATTTACACATTCATGATCCTAATTCTCTGTTGTCGACGTGCATTAAGCGAAGCTTAAGGATCTCCAGTAACCCATGCTTGTCGTAAGAGGCGACTAACGGGATCGGGAGGTTAGGCTTGCTGGCTTGGTTGACACATGGCATCGTATCCCAATTGCGTAGATTGATGCTCATGCTGTTGAACACTGGATTATTTGGTCCAGACTCGGTTATTTACAGACCGCCGCCATATAGCTGGAATGGGAAGATTGCTGAGTGCGGCGTAAAACTAAATCACTCACTTACCTGGTATAAACGGACTTTATTTTTTTTTAATGCGAAATATATTGAAATCATTACAAGATTAAGCCTCTGAAATTCAAGCAAAAATTTAAGATGATTAAAAGTTGACAGTAAATAGAATCGCGTTTGAATAATGTATGAACTATATCTACGTTGTCACGAATATGGGATGCTCGTTTAGAAAGGTGTTATCTGTCACAATCAATTTTCCGCGAAAATATGTTTCATGAAAGCAATTTAAACACCTATAATCATTATTGTTTGGTATTATCACACAAAGGGGCTGTCGCTACATTGCAAAATGGTGTGATTTCTTGTGCTTTGAGAGGAACATTAGACAAGGAGTGCAAATGTGTAGTCCTAATAAAGGTCGAAATGGCTTTAAACTGATAACAAGCAGGAAAAGGACAACAGGTAACGAATATCAGTTTCAACTTGTTTAGCCGGAAAATCCGTGCAGCATGCTTATCAATCATACACAACTGTCATACATGGCTGTGATTTCAAACTTCATTGTCTTTAAGTTTATAACCTCATTACGGCATTGCGTGCGTTGCTGAAGTGTATGTGTTAGTTTTCTCGACGTAATGACCAACAGCACCGCCGCCATATGGCTGGAATATTGCTGAGTGCGGCGTAAAACTAAACTCACTCACTCACTCTCGGCGGCGAGTGAGTTTGATGTTGAAGGAAATTGTGAAGTGACTCGTGACATCGACGGTTACCATCTTGGAGCTGACAGACCAAGAGGGATAATAACGGGATTCGAACCACTGTCACAAGTTCCTGGCGCGCCTAAGGGTCGCAACTCTGCACAGCGCATTACAGCGACTTCTACGAGACCGGTGTATTTTGAGGTATTAAACTCGTACAAAGGTCAATTCTTTATCACATAAAAAACATAAAATTATATTTGGCATATTAATCGAAAATTTCTAAATTTTATTTCATAACAGTATAAGATATGATCAGTCTCTTTAATCTTTGACGATAAACGTTCAGGACAAAAAAGGGCGGGGTGCGTACCCCTGACACCCACCCACCCACCACACCACACCCCCCCTTCTGGGTCCGCTGATGGGGGGAGGTGGGGTAAACTAGTGGTTAAAGCGTTCGCTCCAGACAGCGAAGGCCCAGGTTCGAGTCTTCATGTGTATAATGGGTGAAGACCATTTCGTCCTGATAGTGCTCTGGAATATAGCTAAAGCGACGTAAAACCATTCTCACTCACCCGGGAATGAAGAAATTACCAACAAAATAATATCACATTGACAAGTTCTATGAATCGCATTCTTTTCACAATTGACATATTCACAGAAACTTCAAAATTTAATTCTAAAAATTCAAAATGAGATAAGAACGATCAGTTTCTTTAATCGCTCGATGGTATTATCTTTCCGCTTCATATGTCATTACAAATGATGAAATAATTATCGACAAAACGATATTTTATCATATTTGTATTATCCGAGATGTATTCATCGTGTACACAAGGATACGCCGAGTACACACGATGCTACTTATAAGGTTAAAGTACCAATTGCTGCATTTATTAACAAGTTTCAACATACCTGTGTATATAACGTTACGGGCAGTGGTGTCAATTCGTATCATGTGGCAAAGCAAGTACGTGCGTTGGTGTGACAAGCACGCGCTGGGTAACACATTGCCGAAATACTTTGTACCTTCAACAACCTCCCACATGTCAACATTTCCTTTTGTGAAACGCACGATACCAATAACGCATACTTTCTTTCAATAGGTGATGGATATGATAAAATAAAATCTTAGTTACCAATACTGTGCAAAATATACGATTCAAATTTAAACATCTGTAGCCTAGCAACAAGACAAGAAAACCCGGTTAATCCGTCCTCGTTTAGTCTGGAAAACCCGCCCCCAAAGCTTATATTCATTATCATATTCAGCCGCACGATAGACTGAACACATCTCCCCAGCCTTGAAAACTCTACACTGGCTTTCAATTCGCTTCGGAATCGAGCAGTGTCCGAAATAGCCCCTAGCCCGTGGCTAGTAAAAATCCAGTCCGGCCAGTAAATATCCACAGTCACTGGCCCGACTAGCTAGTGAATTTTCATGGGGTCATTTTGTAAATATCGCTCTTGGCTTGTTGAGTTATAATACACTTTTACATCACATGTCATCGTATCCCAATTGTTAGATCGATACTCATGATGTTGATCACTGGATTTTCTGGTGCAGACTCGATTACGGCTTGATAAAAATGTCCATCATATTAGCAGCTTCATGATGAAACCCGTGTCATGCCGACAATATCTTATACTCATCTATTTTTGTAATATTTTGCTTAGTTTCTACATTCAGATTTCGGGCTAGTAAATTATTTTGTGGGCTAGCAACTTTCAGGCATAGCTAGCCTGACTGGCTAGCAAAATTTGGAAACTATTTCGCAAACTGGAATCAAAATCTTGCTCCTATTTTTTAAGCGTTTAAACGGTCTAGCTCCAAAATACCTCTTGGATCTCCTGACACCATAACACCCAACTAGATCACTCCGCTCAAGAGACCAGCCTTGAAATACCACAAACTAGAACTAAGTCATATGGGGACAGGTCTTTCTCTAGAGCAGGACCCTTCCCCTGGAACAATTTACCATCCATCCTTCGTTCCGAAATCGAACAGTCAAGTTTTAAATGTGGTCTCAAGACGCACCTATTCACCTCTGCACATGGATAAAGTGGACTCAGAAAGTGCTTTTGAGCAATTACATTGATAAGAGGTGAGGTGAAATTGGGTTTAACGTCGTGCTTGAAAATATTTCGCTCATATGACGACGTGCATGCCTGTGTATGTGTATGTGCGGCTGCTTGTACTAGCCCAGACTTTAGCTGGTTTTATAGTGCTAGCTCACTGAGATACCATGCTGCAGTGAAGCATGAATACCCCACTCAGACACAGTATACTGACTCCGAGCCGACCAGTCCTTGTTGTACCCATTAATGCCGAGCGCCAGGCATGTACCAACAAGTGCCATATTTCAACGTCTTTTGGTATGACGCGGTCGGGGATCGAACCCGCGACCTTCCGCTCTCCGGGCGTACGCTCTAACCACTACACCACGGAGGTGGTCACATTGATAAGAAGCGCTTTATAAATATGTGTATGTATGTATTGTTTGGAACGTAAATCTTCTCGAGTTCCTTAGCTCCAGTCATTCTGATTCTGGACATATTTCAAGATAGATAACGTGTAAAAAATACAACATCAGCGCCGGAGAACAATCAGTCTTGATTAGAAGCAGACAAAATATTTTATTGGGCGTGGAAGGAACAATGGCGATGACACTTATACAATGAACCTCTCAAAATCATTGAAGCCAAGAGGTGTCCTTGGAAAGAGTAAGCAGGTCCTACCTACAAGTAACCAACAGCAACAGTGTCGTTGGTAATACAGGTGTGTACCTGTATATATATTCTTTGGTGAGTTGCCTTTGATCAAGTGAGTGAATGAGTTTGGTTTTTACGCCGCTTATTCCAGCAATATCACGGCGAGGACAACAGAAATGGGCATCACACATTGTACTCGTGTAGAAAATCGATCCAGGGACTTCGGCGTGACGAGCAAATTTAATGTTTTAACCACTAAATTATCCCATCGCCCTTTGATTTAGTAATTACCCGATAGGGAAGGGTATTTGTTTTATCTCAGATTACTGATATCCAATGTCTCGCAGCAGCATCCTGCTTAAGGTCAAATAATGTACTATAGAGTACTCAGCGGTGGGCGTGTAACGTCGCCCATCTTGTTTTTCTATGTAACACAGTTTCAGTTATATTATATTAATCAGTTATTTCTTTAACCTCATGGAAGTGAGAAACTAATCTTATAGTTTGTAATAGGTATGTGAACACCGGGTGTTAAACTGCGCGCTTCACATGTACCAGAAAAGATAACAAAGGACATAATTGTGCATGATTCGTGTTTCAAAGTGTATTTAGACCAGCTCGAATCCTTAACCCATATAACCTCTTCAGGCTATATAAAAACGAAATTATCATTTCATGTCACAACTAACGTAAGGATATTATTGTAAAGTAATGAACGGTTATAGGTTATCACGAAAAAGTGTTTAGATCTTATAAAATCGTATAAGATCGTATAAAATATTGATAAAAAGAGCATACCCAGTGGTTCCGTAACAAACACACATAAAGGCTAGTCAATTTTGCTCCCGAAAAATACCTTGGAAAAAATTTGAGGAACTGTATTGGACATAATTGTTTACACAACATCTTTCAATTCGATTCCATTTGTCTATCATACAAAGTTTTAGAGTTTCGCCGATGCTTTTGATCATGAAGTTTTGATCAACCTTAAAGCAGGATTTTGTCATTGCTATGAAAATAGGTTTTGTTAGTATTAATACTTTCTCGCATAAGACAAACGCTTCACAAAGGGAACAATACTTCAGGAATCTGTCAAGTATCCTTGCGCCAACTCAATCAAATAAATGCTAAAGATAATACTGAATGCAATACGGAAGACAATGCAGAAAAATTGCTGAATACAATACTTAAGGCAATGATCAAGACATTGCTGAAGACAATACCGAAGATAATGCTGAAGACAATACCGAAGTTGAGGTTAAGACAATGCTGAATACAATACTCAAGACAATGCTGAATACAAATACCAAAGACAATGCTTAAGACAATACCGAAGATAATGGGGAAGACAATGCTGAAGACACTGCTGAAGACAATACCGAAGTTGATTGTTTAGACAGTTCTGAATACAATACTAAAGACAATGCTGAAGACAATACCGAAGTTGATTGTTAAGACAATTCTGAATACAATACCAAAGACAATGCTGAAGACAATACCGAAGTTGATTGTTAAGACAATGCTGAATACAATACTCAAGACAATGCTGAAGACAATACCGAAGTTGATTGTTAAGACAATTCTGAATACAATACTAAAGACAATGCTGAAGACAATACCGAAGTTGATGGTTAAGACAATGCTGAATACAATACTAAAGAATGCTGAAGACAATACCGAAGTTGAGGTTAAGACAATGTTGAATACAATACTAAAGACAATGCTGAATACATTACCAAAGACAATGCTTAAGACAATACCGAAGATAATGGGGAAGACAATGCTGAAGACACTGCTGAAGACAATACCGAAGTTGATGGTTAAGACAATGCTGAATACAATACTCAAGACAATGCTGAAGACAATACCGAAGTTGATTGTTAAGACAATGCTGAATACAATACTCAAGACAATGCTGAAGACAATACCGAAGTTGATTGTTAAGACAATGCTGAATACAATACCAAAGACAATGCTGAAGACAATACCGAAGTTGATTGTTAAGACAATGCTGAATACAATACCAAAGACAATGCTGAAGACAATACCGAAGTTGATTGTTAAGACAATGCTGAATACAATACCAAAGACAATGCTGAAGACAATACCGAAGTTGATTGTTAAGACAATGCTGAATACAATACCAAAGACAATGCTGAAGACAATACCGAAGTTGATTGTTAAGACAATGCTGAATACAATGCTCAAGACAATGCTGAATACAATACCAAAGACAATGCTGAAGACAATACCGAAGTTGATGGTTAAGACAATGCTGAATACAATGCTCAAGACAATGCTGAATACAATACTGAAGTTAATGGGGAAGACAATGCTGAATACAATACTGAAGTTAATGGGGAAGACAATGCTGAAGACACGGCTGAAGACAATACCGAAGTTGATTGCTAAGACAATGCTGAAGACACTGCTGAAGACAATACCGAAGTTGATTGCTAAGACAATGCTGAAGACAATGCTGAATACAATACTGAAGTTAATGGGGAAGACAAAGACAAGGTTACATATTGTTGATTTCCAATATATTTTGATACAATACTACTTACCGCACGCCAAAACCAACAAGGACGCTACTCCATTGATAATGTTCATTCGACTTTGTTCGGCCATGTTGGAAGTTTGAGCGTTCTTATCCGTACGTCCGGTATCGGTTACTCGATGCTACTGAACAGCAACTTCACGACGGCGATACTTATACACCGCCAACAACGCTCGTGGGCTGTTGATTTCACAATACCCATGTCATTGCCTGAGTCTAAAGTTACCTGCTGCTGAATATGACACCCTTGTGTCGTCAAGGGTAAAGGTTTGAAACGTATGCAGATTTGATGAACGCGAGTATTAAATATAGGGACGTTGGCTGTAAGCTTGTTTCTATTGTTAGTGCATATGTAACAAATTGCGGATTTAAAGTGCCGGCCCACTGTTTGTTTGTTGTTTTACGCCGCACTCGGCAATATTCAAGCTATATCGCGGCGGACTGTAAATAATAGAGTCAATCCAGTGATCAACATCATGAGCATCGATCTGCGCAACTAACCTACCGATCCGTTAGTCACTCTTTCGACAAGCATGGGTTGCTGAAGACGAATTCTAATCCGATATTTTCGGGTCCTCATTAAATGAGAGAAAGAGCGGTAGCCTAGCGGTTAAAGCGTAAGCTTATCACTCAGAAGGTCCAGGTTCGGTTCTCACATGAGTACAATCTAGTATCCTGTGTCGTTTTGCTAGAAGCGTAAAGCCTTACTCACTCATTCTGTTTATTTGCAAGTTTGGTTTAACAGACTATCCACATCACGAATGAAATTGGAACGTTTATACATGATTTTGAAGTATACAACAGTACAGTATGACATAAACAGACAATTTGAATCAAATCAGTTTCTGAGCTTTGAATTGTTTTATATTTGTATTTAAGTATCCATGAGGATTATGACTACAATACCACAAACGATCATGGCTGATCGTAATGTCATGTTCCTTTAAGACACATACATATTTGGCACACATACATATACCATCTTATGTTACAAGGCTAAATATCCCCACATGGGTACAATGAAACCCATGTCTGGTGTCCCACGCCGTGATATTGCTGGAATGTTGCTAAAAGCGGTGTAGAACTAAACTCACTCATTCACTATAAGGCTAAAACACGTGGAGGGAGGGAGTTTAGTTTTTCACCGATTTTAGCAATATTCCAGCAATATCACGACCGAGGAGACCAGAAATGGGGTTCACATATTGTACCCATGTGGGGAATCGAACCCGGGTCTTCGGGGTGACGAGCGAACGCTTGAACCACTAGGCTACCCCACCGCCCCTAATACACGTGGAACATTTGTTTTAATCTGAAATACACCTATGTATAAATATACGGTTAGCCGGTGGCAACTCACATACAGATGGTTTTAATCGTCACCCGACACATCGCCAAGGATGTCATATCCTTAGTGGCCTGAACCCATGATATGTGTCATATTTCACATGACCCTGAATGTGTACGTTTCGCAAACAAAAACAAATAAATATATACGGTCACGAGTGGACATTAGACATTGTATTGTCTTGTCAGGTTCTCATGACTTCCGTGTGTCTAGTTACGGCATTCTGCGTCCACAGTGTCAGCTGGGGTGGTGGGGTAGCCTAGTGGTTAACGTGTTCGTTCGTCACGCCGAAGACCCGGGTTCGATTCCCCACATGGATACAATGTGTGAAGCCCATTCGCTTTGTTTTAACATAATGTGTATCCTCATGAATGATGCGTCACCTCAATGAGACTACTTACCTCTATTTGTTTGGACTTCCTGTATAAAAATGACCCCTGCAATCTGTATGTTGTTTATTAAAGGTGACGGATCATGTCCTCAGACTCGATGACGTCAGACTTTAAACATTTTGCTATTTTAAGCCATACATTTTCTTAAATAATCAGTTAATGCTTGCTCAGTTCAGTTCTGTCAAACCATTTTATTTTTCAAAGTTGTATACCACTATTCCACATGACAAACGTAAGGGAAAACCTCATTCCTTGATCCATGGGACATTTATAAATAAGGGCATCATTTTTTATGTGTGTCACGTAGCTACCAAATTCTGAACATGGATCTGTCGGTCGGGGAAAAAATTAAAATCTAACAAACACAAACTTAATAAAGACAAAATTATCCGAATAATGTTCTTGATTCTCATTTATTGTAATTCTTATTGCAATTTCTCGTGTTATATGGACTTGTGGCAGCGACTGATTAAAACATTTTAGATAGATAAACAATTTATATGACGAGGCGGTACGTTTTAGGTTCGAGTCGGCGGTGTTGGAATGAAAAAAAAAGAAGTTTCCTCAGAGGTTCAGGACATTTTTTCAAAGTTGATATCAAATGTCATTTGAACTTTACAGAGAAAACTATGTGCGAAATGCTGGGCTTTCTCGCTTATAACATCCAATCTGGGGAAAAAACATTTCGACCAGAACTAGGTATCCCCATGGGTACCAATTGTGCTCTCCTCCTTGTGTATCTGCTTCTTCAAGAATATCAATCAGAATTTCTGCTTGGGTCGGCAGATCGAAACAAGATAATTTTGCCAAGAAGTTTAACTTAAGCTTTAGGTATACCGATGATTTAGTATCGTTCAATAACCATCAAATAGTCAGTACCAGTCGTTACCATACGTTCCAGAATTATTTCAGGTGATTAGACTTAGCATATACTTATGACGGGCGCCACCGGTGGGAGAAGGATACGCTCACCTTTTCGCGAACACCTGTTATAATCACTGTTTCATTCTGTTTATTTCCATGTGTTGTTCAACGAAACAACACATAATGGATGAAATCAGAGCCTTTATTCCTGACTATACGGAAAACAACAGTACAGTATGACACACACAAGTAATTTGAATCAAATCATTTTGTGAACTTGGATTGTTGAAATCTAGTGTTCAATTAATTACGAGGATTACAATACCACAGACGTTCATGGCCGATCGTATGTCATGCTCCTTAAATAGATCAGGCGACAGATGTCACAGACAGGTCTTGCTGTGACAAGTTGCGTACCTTGAACGTATCAGGATCTTATAATCTTGGTTTCGAATCTCAGACCAACACCGATATTGATTTGCTTCTTCAACACCATACCCGTGCGAGTTGTCTCCCCTACGTGGAAAAGGATAAAGGCTTGCGTCACTTCGGAGATCTTCATCTCTCCGTGAAACTGTCATCGTGAAACCTAGGTGACTCCCATGATCCCGCATTGAACGGGACTAGCTTCAATGTGATTATACCAAACGTGTACTGTCATTATTTACATGAAGGTTGTATCTTCATCGTGTCATTGACAATTGCAAAGTGCCAACACAAAGACAAACATGATGAGGAGAGCGAATATCCAGTTCAACCTCAGGGCGTTCCCTGACAGCGGCACATCCTGCTGTAGTCTGTTTGCAGTGAACACGTACCGATGAATTTCACTTTAAACAAAAAAGTAAATCAAATAAAGTGAAATTAAGATTGCGAATCCTCATTATTTGACCTTGCCAATTGAGCATTTAAATCTCAGAATTTAATTCAAATTAGGATAAAAGATGTTTAACAAACTATCATAGTTTCAAATCGCTATCATTGGTTTGTATTACAAGGGGGTAAGCGCAGTAGTTGGAACAGTGGAACAAATGCACGTGCGGTACGTGAAGAGCGTTAACTTATAACAAACTTTGTCGTTTTCGGTGTTTCATTTGATGTGCATACCCCCTTGTAAAACAAACCAATAATAGCCATGTGAAACTATGATCGTTTGTTAAACAACTTTTATCCTAAGTCGAATAAAATTCCGAGATTGAAATGTTCAATTGGCAAGGTAAAATCATGAGATTCGCAGTCTTAATTTCACTTTATTTGTTTTACTTTTTTGTTTAAAGTGACACTCATCGGTACCTTTTCACTGCAAACAGACTATAATATACTTGACAAAAATAGTTAGGGATATATGTAAATTTTGAAATTATAAATAATGATCTATTTATTTATTAACACACTGATAAAATATCAATCATAAAAATACAAATATCCCTAACTTATTTTGTCCAGTATATAATATCCTAGAGCAAGACAACACGTCGACAGTGAACAATTCAACTTTTAACATTGACCACAACTTATAACGTTGATCGTCTTCCTAAATTGGTATTACATTAAGTCTCTCATTCGTATTACATGTTCATCCTTTTCGCGAACGATTGATGTCATCACAAATCTTGCAGCGATCATTTTATATAAGCTTTACCACTTGTGCCTAATGAAACTTTCGGCGAAGAATTAAGGCTATTTTTCTGGGCTTTACGTTCTATGATTACTAATGAAACGGAGCACAGATGTGCCCAACATATGTAATATGTTTTAAAGATGTGCATGTGCTATATTATGAACAGACATTCCCGAATATGGAGTGGCAGTGAAAAATTTAAACATAAACGTTTTGTGTTTCTAAATGTGTACCCTGTAGATTGGGTACTTCTCATGTTAGTTATGAAATCAGCGCTTGAGCAGAGTAGACATACAGTGGATTCTGACTCTGAATACGTTAGATCTGAATGTATTCATGAGTTTAATAATATTATGGACCATTAGTAAAAAATCGGAAACATAAAATATGATTCGCAAGTGACTTTACGTTTATCTCCAGGTATGACAACATCAAGGAGAATTCAAACTCGGACATCACTGCAGCAACGTCGCACGTCGTCATGGCTCACCATCACAAAAACGTATTTAAATATTTGTTTTCTGCCAGTTCGCGGGTAAATAGTACCCAAGTCTCACTTTAAGGTTTAATAGTGTGTCAATATATATCGAACATTTCATCATACAATGATAAGCTGGATAATCGAGGTAAATATGTGATCGATAAATACTATTGTTTTCCGATCATGTAAGCTGAAACACTATCATAAACAATTATGTGTATGTACATGTTTGTTATCTTGCCAATATCATATACACAAACAAAACACTTTGTTGGTATGTCAGCATTTCCAGGGGTCTGTCTTATTCCTTCTTCTTGTACTTTTCTAATTCCGCCTTTAATTTCTCTACTTCCAGGTTTCTCTGCAATGAGAAAAATCAAATCCATCTTACAGACAGCTCCATCAATGAAATGTGGCGTACACATGCTCGGCACGTCAGGTGTGTTTCTTCTGTACAACTCCAAAGTAGCTATGGTCAACCCTGTCCCTCTACATTATTGCTATAGTAATATGCACATTTCATTTGGGTCACAAAAATCACTTTTTTCGCGTTTAACACTATCAATATTCTATCTATATGGTGGTGATCTGTAAATAATCGAGCCTATTCAAGTGACACCATGAACATCGATCTACGTAATTGGTTGTTTGGTTGTTTAACGCCGCACTCAGCAATATCGTAGCGGCGGTCTGTAAATAATCAATATCATGAGCATCGATCTACGCAATTGGGATACTATGATATGTGTTAACCAAGTCAGCGAGCCTGACCACCCGATCCCGTTACTTGCCTTCTACAACAAGTATGGGTTACTCAAGACCAGTTCTGTTTCGGATGTACATGGGGTGCATCACGACGAGACAAAAGAGTTCAGTTTTACTTTTCACAAGTTATCCCAAAGATAATGATCTATGGAAGTCTGAATGTAACTGAATATCTTTGAAAGTCTGCATTCCTTTGACTATAAGTGGCCTCGGATCTCGGTCCTCGGACCTTGGACTGTGGACCAATTATTATGTTATGGAAATGGAGAGCTATCGGACGTCCCCTCTCCACAAGCAATTTTGAGCCGGGGACAAATTCATACCAGTCCCCCAAGGGTTCACAATTCACACTAATTTCTAAACCCGACCAGTGGATCCTAATTTAAGTCAAAATGTATAATATTCCCTTAAAGTATCACTAAAACGGGCTCCTACATTGGTTACTGATTGCCAAAAGCTGACCGGACAACCGGAAATGACGTAACCAATACAGCATACCTGATGGAGCGTCTTCTCCACTGTAATCAGACGGTGTGCAGTGACGGCCGATGCTGCCATCGTCCCGGCAACTGTTGGCAATCTCCCTCCCGCCACCGTCATCAAGTCACCAACGTCATCCACCTGACTCCCGATGTTCTTTACAGAAAGTACCTAGTACAAATACGAAAAGTGGTAAAACCATGTACGCTTTGCACTCATCTGTGTTTGTCATCAGTGGAAATATTTGTGGAGTCCTGTAGGAAGACGTTTCCTATTCTCGCGGTACTTACGGATATCGGCTGAAAAAATAACACAAACAATTCTTATCGTATGAATGCTTGTTGTTTTTAAATGAAAGGCCTTCTCCTCTAACATCTTCATCTATAAGCTCCCAGATCCATCAGGTGAATTACTACCACTCGTGAGCCGGTGATAAACAATGCCATCCGCCACTGACGAAACGAGGCTTCTCCCATTCTCGCGGTATTACCAGGAATTAACGTTAGATCTTTTGCGTGTATGTAAGAGCAATCCTGTCGGAAAGGGCGAGAAAAAGTAATGATATGTCCAAGTTGGTATAAACTCCCCAATATTCGTGACACTGCAAGATTTTGATCACTCACAGACTTGGTCCACTTCCTAGTTACCAGTCGGTGATGTAAACAACCGGTAAGTGTCGCGCATCGGCGATTTCGGCAGAAAACGTGTTTACCGCGAGAATAGGAAACCCGCGAGAATAGGAGACGGACCTATACTTGACATGAAACCTGAGTGTTCCGTATAGTGGTTTGTTTGTTGTCTTACGCCGCTATTCCAGCCTTATGGCGGCGGTCTGTAAATAATCAAATCTGCACCAGACAATACAGTGATCAACAGCATGAGCATCGATCAAGGCAAATGGGATACGATGACATATGTCAATCAAGTCAGCGAGCTTGACCACCCCATCCCGTTAGTCGCCTCTTACGACCAGCATGGGTTGCGTGATATGTTGTTGTTGTTTTTAAGTTCTTATGCACAGGTGGCAACGTAATAAACAAACTATATAAGGGCGGTGTGTAAGTATCCTGACCAGGCAAGGTTCACTCCAAAGGTCGTCAATGAACAACGACCCGTGAAGATCCGGGTTAGAATTGATCTTCAGTAATCCATGCTTGTCGTAAGAGGCGAATAACCGGATAGGGTGGTCAGGCTCGTTGACTTGGTTGATACATTGCGTAGATCGACTTTCATGTTGTTGATCACTGGATTGTCTGGTTCAGAGTCGATTATTTACAGACCGCCGCCATATAGCTGGAATATTGCTGAGTGCGGCGTAAAACTAAACTCACTCTCTTATTCACTCACAATGAGCAACAACTCCATCATTGAATGACGATGCATATCGTCCGAGACGTCACTCTAAGGGTACCCAATCTACCCCTAATAGCTAGATGGGCACAGTTGTCCTACCTTTGGAACGAAGATGAGGCACTGGGTGACGGTTGTGGCGAGGATGACGACGGTCGAGGTTAGGGCGTAGTTGATGTTCACCTGAGTTCTGAGGGACATGGAGACGGTGACGCCAAGGAGGCTGAGCACAAGGACGTTGTACACAGACATTCCAATCATCTTTGAATCGTTAAGACCATCAAGCTTCACCTGTCATATAACATCATTGTTCAAGAAGGCTGTTGACTGAAGGTGTACTGGTACTTGATGATACTTTGGTAGCCTAAAATATTGTTTTGTTTTGTGGAAATACTCGCTACTTCAATCATTTTTTCTTTCATAAACTTGCAAGTTGGATAATTTTCCTCGCTGCTGATCACATTATTTCATACTTTTGTCAAAACTCGAAAAAAAGAGACTATAATGGATATTATGACAAACTAATCTACGTTTCAACAAGGTCCCCAAGACGTCCACTAGTGCAGCTTGTAAGGTTTTAGTGCGAGACGATACTTATTCGTGAATTGATGCATTTTGTCAACTACACCATAACGAATGTTGTGTCGAAGTTGAAGGGACCTACGTAAGAACTTCGACTAAAAAGGAATACTCAAAGTCGAATCTTTTACTTTGAGACAATGACACAACCAATGTTCCACACATCAAATTCTGAATTCGACATTCTGGTGTTTGCCTGTGGGTTCAAGTAGAGATTTACCTCAAGGTAAAGAGGTGAAGTGTTTAGTCGTTTTCATCAAACGTGATATCCGTTTTCATAATAGACTTAACTAGCAGATGTTGAACATTCCCATTCTTAATTATCCTTGAACAACACAAACAGGCAGTCAACAATACATGTGCTGACCTTCCGAGTTTCCCATACAAGACAAAGAGGCGATCAGCAAGAGGAGTACTAACCTTCCGAGTTTCCCATACAAGACAAAGAGGCGATCAACAAGAGGAGTACTAACCTTCCGAGTTTCCCATACAAGACAAATAGGCGATCAACAAGAGGAGTACTAACCTTCCGAGTTTCCCATGCCAGAAAGGCCCCCAGCAACATCAGGATACCCTGCAGGGCGAACAGTGCGGCTGTGAAGTAAAGTTGGTTGGGGGACTCGCACAGTTTCACTACCCTCTGAGTGATGACATCTTCCTTGTCATCCAGCTGTAATAATGGTGACATATGATTACTACCGATTTTAGCAGCACTTCAGTTCCTGGAGGGGGGAAACAGAATATGGGAGGAAAGACCAAGGTGTTCCAAGTCTTAGATGTCTACTGTTTTAGTGAAATCACCGCGGATTGGTCTTGTGCTCGCAAACAAAGAATCATTGTATTCTGGAACGAGTAAGGGACGCAACTCAGCACACGATAGGATCAACCATGTGGACCTCAGCCCCAACAAGAACAGTAACAGCTGTTAATGTTCCCTGCAATCAGAGTCAGTAATTGCTTCTTGGTAGTTTCGGCGAAATATTGTTTTAGGCTTGCAAAGAAAAGAAACCAAACGTTTCTATTTCGGAAATCAGTTCAGGCATCTACATGTGTAATATTCTCGAACGTCGGATGACGTCAATTACTGTAGCAAATGACTGCAATGGGATGTTCATATATACCAATATTGACATCTCGCACGTAGTTTCGAATGCCGAAATCGTGATCACTTCCAACTGTGTAAAGCGCTGGAATACGGCTGGCATATTAGACTGACTGAATGAGTATGGTTTTAAACTCACTCATTCACTATAAGGCTAAAACACGTGGAGGGAGGGAGTTTAGTTTTACACCGGTTTTAGCAATATTCCAGCAATATCACGGCGGGGTACACCAGAAATGGTCTTCACAAATTGTACCCATGTGGGGAATCGAACCCGGGCCTTCGGCCTGACAAGCGAACGCTTTTACCACTAGGCTACCCCACCGCCCCTGGCATATTAGACATAAAACCATACGCACTTACAGATAAGCACTTACCTGCAGAGGGAGGTCGTAGTCGACAACAACGATGGGGTCCAGAAAGGTCCACGTCAGCAGGACCAGCATGTTGATGGCTACTAGGGCGCCGACCATCGCCATTAGTTGACTGTCTTTAACAATCTGCAGATACATGTGAGGTGAGGTGAGGTGAAATTGGGTTTTACGTCGTGCTTGAGAATATTTCGCTCATATGACGACGTGCATGCGTGTGTATGTGTATATGCGGCTGCTTGTACTAGCCCAGACTGAAGCTGGTTTTATAGCCCACTGAGATACCATGCCGCAGTGAAGCATGAATACCCCATTCAGGCACATTATACAGACTCCGAGGCGACCATTCCTTATTGCACCCATTAATGCCGAGCGCCAGACAGGGACCAACAAGTACCATATTTTAACGTCTTTTGGTATGACGCGGTCGGGGATCGAACCCGCGACCTTCCGCTCTCCGGGCAGACGCTCTAACCACTACACCACGGAGGCGGTCAGTACACTTTAAGACATAAGAGTAAACCTATAACGTAAGATTTTGCGTTTTGTCTAACATTAATTGATATGTATGATGAATGCATTCAGCTTTGGTTTAGACTACTTGTGTTCAACAACGTTTTTAGATATTGTATTGTAGCGTTATGGAAACATCAAAGTACTAAAACTGTATTGCAAGAAGTGATGAACCCGTACTGTAAGATAGCGTTATGGCCCAGTATTGCAAGAAGTGGTGAGCCTGTACTGTAAGATAGCGTTATGGCCCAGTATTACAAGAAGTGGTGAGCCTGTACTGTAAGATAGCGTTATGGCCCAGTATTACAAGAAGTGGTGAGCCTGTACTGTAAGATAGCGTTATGGCCCAGTATTACAAGAAGTGGTGAGCCTGTACTGTAAGATAGCGTTATGGCCCAGTATTACAAGAAGTGGTGAGCCTGTACTGTAAGATAGCGTTATGGCCCAGTATTGCAAGAAGTGGTGAGCCTGTACTGTAAGATAGCGTTATGGCCCAGTATTGCAAGAAGTGATGAACCTGTACTGTAAGATAGCGTTATGGCCCAATATTGCAAGAAGTGATGAACCTGTACTGTAAGATAGCGTTATGGCCCAGTATAGCAAGAAGTGGTGAACCTGTACTGTAAGATAGCGTTATGGCCCAGTATTGCAAGAAGTGGTGAACCTGTACTATAAGATAGCGTTATGGCCCAGTATTGCAAGAAGTGGTGAGCCTGTACTGTAAGATAGCGTTATGGCCCAGTATTGCAATGAAGTGGTGAGCCTGTACTGTAAGATAGCGTTATGGCCCAGTATTACAAGAAGTGGTGAGCCTGTACTGTAAGATAGCGTTATGGCCCAGTATTGCAAGAAGTGGTGAGCCTGTACTGTAAGATAGCGTTATGGCCCAGTATTACAAGAAGTGGTGAGCCTGTACTGTGATAAGATAGCGTTATGGCCCAGTATTACAAGAAGTGGTGAGCCTGTACTGTAAGATAGCGTTATGGCCCAGTATTACAAGAAGTGGTGAGCCTGTACTGTAAGATAGCGTTATGGCCCAGTATTACAAGAAGTGGTGAGCCTGCACTGTAAGATAGCGTTATGGCCCAGTATTACAAGAAGTGGTGAGCCTGTACTGTAAGATAGCGTTATGGCCCAGTATTACAAGAAGTGGTGAGCCTGTACTGTAAGATAGCGTTATGGCCCAGTATTACAAGAAGTGGTGAGCCTGTACTGTAAGATAGCGTTATGGCCCAGTATTACAAGAAGTGGTGAGCCTGTACTGTAAGATAGCGTTATGGCCCAGTATTGCAAGAAGTGGTGAGCCTGTACTGTAAGATAGCGTTATGGCCCAGTATTGCAAGAAGTGGTGAACCTGTACTGTAAGATAGCGTTATGGCCCAGTATTGCAAGAAGTGGTGAACCTGTACTGTAAGATAGCGTTATGGCCCAGTATTGCAAGAAGTGGTGAACCTGTACTGTAAGATAGCGTTATGGCCAAGAAGTGGTATTACAAGAAGTGATGAACCTGTACCTGTACTGTAAGATAGCGTTATGGCCCAGTATTGCAATGAAGTGGTGAGCCTGTACTGTAAGATAGCGTTATGGCCCAGTATTACAAGAAGTGGTGAGCCTGTACTGTAAGATAGCGTTATGGCCCAGTATTGCAAGAAGTGGTGAGCCTGTACTGTAAGATAGCGTTATGGCCCAGTATTACAAGAAGTGGTGAGCCTGTACTGTAAGATAGCGTTATGGCCCAGTATTACAAGAAGTGGTGAGCCTGCACTGTAAGATAGCGTTATGGCCAAGTATTACAAGAAGTGGTGAGCCTGCACTGTAAGATAGCGTTATGGCCCAGTATTACAAGAAGTGATGAGCCTGTACTGTAAGATAGCGTTATGGCCCAGTATTGCAAGAAGTGGTGAACCTGTACTGTAAGATAGCGTTATGGCCCAGTATTGCAAGAAGTGGTGAGCCTGTACTGTAAGATAGCGTTATGGCCCAGTATTGCAAGAAGTGGTGAGCCTGTACTGTAAGATAGCGTTATGGCCCAGTATTGCAAGTGGTGAAGTGTAAGTGTTATGGCCCAGTATTGCAAGAAGTGGTGAGCCTGTACTGTAAGATAGCGTTATGGCCCAGTATTACAAGAAGTGGTGAGCCTGTACTGTAAGATAGCGTTATGGCCCAGTATTACAAGAAGTGGTGAGCCTGTACTGTAAGATAGCGTTATGGCCCAGTATTACATGAAGTGGTGAGCCTGTACTGTAAGATAGCGTTATGGCCCAGTATTACAAGAAGTGGTGAGCCTGTACTGTAAGATAGCGTTATGGCCCAGTATTACAAGAAGTGGTGAGCCTGTACTGTAAGATAGCGTTATGGCCCAGTATTACAGGAAGTGGTGAGCCTGTACTGTAAGATAGCGTTATGGCCCAGTATTACAAGAAGTGGTGAGCCTGTACTGTAAGATAGCGTTATGGCCCAGTATTGCAAGAAGTGGTGAGCCTGTACTGTAAGATAGCGTTATGGCCCAGTATTGCAAGAAGTGGTGAGCCTGTACTGTAAGATAGCGTTATGGCCCAGTATTACAAGAAGTGGTGAGCCTGTACTGTAAGATAGCGTTATGGCCCAGTATTACAAGAAGTGGTGAGCCTGTACTGTAAGATAGCGTTATGGCCCAGTATTGCAAGAAGTGGTGAGCCTGTACTGAAAGATAGCGTTATGGCCCAGTATTGCAAGAAGTGGTGAGCCTGTACTGTAAGATAGCGTTATGGCCCAGTATTGCAAGAAGTGATGAACCTGTACTGTAAGATAGCGTTATGGCCCAGTATTGCAAGAAGTGGTGAACCTGTACTGTAAGATAGCCTTATGGCCCAGTATTGCAAGAAGTGGTGAACCTGTACTGTAAGATATCGTTATGGCCCAGTATTACAAGAAGTGATGAACCTGTACTGTAAGATAGCGTTATGGCCCAGTATTGCAAGAAGTGGTGAACCTGTACTGTAAGATAGCGTTATGGCCCAGTATTACAAGAAGTGGTGAGCCTGTACTGTAAGATAGCGTTATGGCCCAGTATTGCAAGAAGTGGTGAGCCTGTACTGTAAGATAGCGTTATGGCCCAATATTGCAAGAAGTGATGAACCTGTACTGTAAGATAGCGTTATGGCCCAGTATTACAAGAAGTGGTGAGCCTGTACTGTAAGATAGCGTTATGGCCCAGTATTACAAGAAGTGATGAACCTGTACTGTAAGATAGCGTTATGGCCCAGTATTACAAGGAGTGGTGAACCTGTACTGTAAGATAGCGTTATGGCCCAGTATTACAAGAAGTGATGAACCTGTACTGTAAGATAGCGTTATGGCCCAGTATTACAAGAAGTGGTGAGGCTGTACTGTAAGATAGCGTTATGGCCCAGTATTACAAGAAGTGATGAACCTGTATTGTAAGATAGCGTTATGGCCCAGTATTACAAGAAGTGGTTAACCAAGATATACTACTCAGACTTTGCTAATGATCACAAACATTCCCAACTTTACATAGTTTATCATTTGAAATTGTATCCATTTCAAACTAGATAAATAATGATATGGCAACCTCTCTTTAGGCAAACAGCCACTTTAATCAAACTTATGCACTTGATACATGAGTAACCATAAAAATTATTTTTATGGCACCAATCAACCATTTTGCAAATCATGGAACGAGTCATTGACAAGTACACAACACCTGTGAATAGCAAGTATGGCATCCACAAGATGCTTACAATAAGGATCCATGCTTACAATAAGCTTAAATATTTAAACCAAATTAGACCCCATATCATAGTATATCCTTAGTATAGTAATAGTATAGTAAGAAACAATGTACCTGTAAGCAAGATACCTTATAGAATGAACCCACACTATGAAAGACATGGCGTAACCCTACTTCTACTTCAACGTTGACGTTTATAGTACTGTGAGCTCTATAGAACGTTACCTTCTTCTTCTTGGTGGAGTTTGTGAAGATCACATGGACACGCCAGGTTTTGGCAAACAGTGCCCCGAATGACAGTGAAAATCCAAGTGCCAGGAAAAACGCTTTAATCTGAAGAAAACGGGAATGAAAACACGTCACCTGCAGATGACTATCCACATTGAGCACACAGTGTATCATTAATCATACCCCCATATGCTTGAAAACGGTATAAGAATCTATACCTAAACGTCGCCATTGTCAAAAAAAGAGGTTGATCATCCATAAGGTCTTGCTATCTCTGTACCACCAACTTCTAGAATGCCACTAAAACCAATTATAACCGCTTACTGTGCAAAATGCCGAGAAGGACGTGGCGCTGGTGTTCTCAAGAAAAGGCGTCATGTACAGAAGTAGACATCCAACAAGTGTGAAGTTGTTGAGTCGCGGAGACGACATCTTTACCTCTCTGGAATTAACACCAAATAGTTAAAACAAACATAACCGTCGTATATCTACATCTACTGTTACCAACTGTTTTCTGGTAAAGAAAGTTCTCGCCCAAATTGGATGATGACTAAAAATTGAACGAACAAGAAATGGTTATTTGGTGGTAATGTATTTGATACTGGTTTCTGTGGGTTTTTTGGTTTGGCAGACTGTTTCGGCAATTGGCTAAATTTCAGAATATTTTGATAAAGATTTTTCACATTATGTTTTTGTTTTTAAAAACATTATTTCCTCTGAAAAACATCATGTTTATAAAATGTGTCATGAATAAAGTTACGGACATAACATGTTTGTTTTTATTTAACTCGTTTTGACACATAAATATTGGCATTTAGAATTGGACATCAATCATTATATCGATATTTGAGTATTCTTGCAGTTGCTTTTTCTTAGTTGGTTCCTTACAACATATAATGTGACCGTTCACGATACGAAACATAGTTCGTAGTGTATCCATATGATTCACCTGACGGTCCAGAATAGATGACTGAAGCAAACGTGGAAAATGATACACCCCTGATTGAGCAGAGTACCACAGATCAAATTGTGTAATCGATGATATCGTAAATGAACTATTGAATGACATTTTTTTAGATTTACTCAGAAAATAACTTACTTCCTTATGCATGGGCTGCTCTTAAAGTATGTTAAGGATGTCGTTTTGTTGGTATTCCAAACCTACATGTGTCACCACTGATGTGAAACGTTGATTTATTATACATATTTTGTCATTTTTGCTCCAGTTGACTTCTCTGATATTTATCGATAATCGATCGATATTCATTAAACGATGATCGACCTCTATGATATATATCAATAGAGAGCCCTATAAATAGTTGTACTGGTAAGTAAACCGCATCACGACACTAACCGTATATCCCTGTAGTAGAAGTTGAATACCAGAAAGAAAACAGACAATGCCGCTCCCAGCCCCGAAATACAACAGAAGCAGATGTACAGAGCCATAAACAGGTGCTCCTCGTAGATCAGCTTCACTACAGAGTCTCTCGGTATCTTTCCATCTGCAATAAATAGAACATAATAGAACTGACATCTTTGTTCTCCTCACAACAGAAGCAGATGTACACAGCCATAAACAGGTGCTCTTGCAAGATCAGCTTCACTACAGAGTCTCTCGGTATCTTTCCATCTGCAATAAATAGAACATAATAGAACTGACATCTTTGTTCTCCTCACAACAGAAGCAGATGTACACAGCCAGAAACAAGTGCTCCTGCAAGATCAGCTTCACTACAGAGTCTCTCGGTATCTTTCTATCTGCAATAAATAGAACATGACAGAACTGACATCTTTGTTCTCCTCACAACAGAAGCAGATGCATAGAGCCAGAAACAAGTGCTCCTGCAAGATCAGCTTCACTACAGAGTCTCTTGGTGTCTTTCTATCTGCAATAAATAGAACATGACAGAACTGACATCTTTGTTCTCCTCACAACAGAAGCAGATGTACAGAGCCAGAAATAGGTGCTCCTCATAGATCAGCTTCACTACCGAGTCTCTTGGTGTCTTTCTATCTGCAATAAATAGAACATGACAGAACTGACATCTTTGTTCTCCTCACAACAGAAGCAGATGTACACAGCCAGAAACAAGTGCTCCTGCAAGATCAGCTTCACCACAGAATCTTTCGGTGTCTTTCCATCTGCAATAAATAGAACATGACAGAACTGACATCTTTGTTCTCCTCACAACAGAAGCAGATGTACAGAGCCAGAAATAGGTGCTCCTCATAGATCAGCTTCACTACCGAGTCTCTCGGTGTCTTCCCATCTGCAACATGTGGCACACAAAAAAACCTTACACTTTTTGTCTTGCCATGAGCGAGTAAGCGAGATTTTAACGACGACTTCAGCAATATCCAGCAATATCAAAGCAATGGGTTTCAGTTGTACCCATCAGGAATCGAACTGGGCTCTTTATCCTCAAGGATAGCACAGGGGTCTGAATAGATTCTCACTAAATATCATACTTGCTGTGAACTGCGTACGTAAATGAGGGATGGGGGATGTGTATGACACTCATGCAACTTATATTTGGTCCTTCTGCAGGCAGGTAGTCTGTCTCTATACCCCAGAACCGCATTATTTCCCATCTTTCTGGAGTGCTCAAGCACTGGTTGAAACAAGTCGAGATTTTCTCAGGTTAAATAATTGAATATCCCACCCCATCGGTGCCCCTTTTCAATTTATTTTTCAAGGAATTGTTTGTTTCAGTCCAAATTAAATATATATGCATGTAATACATGTATTTATTCTTTATTGATGTAGGAAATATTCGTTATATCATATGGACATAGAATACAATGAACATACAAATAAAATGAAGAATTTAGTCACGTATAAATCTAAATTAGCTCCTTATTACGCATTTCAGACTGCAAAATAATTCCAGCATTGCATGTTATAAATAGAATTCCAAATGAGTAAAACTCATGTTCTTCTTAGATATGGCACGTGGATTTGGATTCCGATATCGAATTGATTTCCGAAAAGACAAACTGGTAGTAATCGACGATCGGGTAGTCAGGGGGCGGTGGGGTAGCCTAGTGGATAAAGCGTTCGCTCGTCACGCCGAAGACCCGGGATCAACTGCCCACATGGGTACAATGTGTGAAGACCATATCTGGTGTCCCCGTTGTGATATTTTTGGATTTTTGCTAAAAACTAAACCTACTCACTCACTCGGGTGGTCAGATTCAGACGTTCTGTCATCACAATCTGACGGCGTGGATCGTTGCTCATAATATCGATCACTGGATTGTCTGATCCAGACTCGATTAGTTACCGGCTGCCGTCATCTTGGCATTTATTGTATCAATTTGCATTTATTTGTCACATGCACCACCGTTGGTGGGTTTTTGAGAATAAGGATAAGATGAGATGTCTATTTAAGCTTGAATATTGCTGACTGACTTCAGAGTTGAAGGTGGTATCCATATGTCTATATTTCTTAAAAGAAAGATTATTGAACCTACCTTCCCATACAACTGGATCGATCTCCGGCAGCCAATCAATCTGAGAACTTGGGTCAAGATTAGGATCGTAGAGTCCCACCATAGTAGACTGACCACCTGTAATAATAATAATAATATTGGTCATCGTGAATGATATGATTCCAAAGCACCAGAGCAACTGTATGTGGGTTGTCATAGATGGCTTAATTAACATCAGTTACCTTTAGATAACTGCAAACATTTACAAAGTTGGACCACTGTGTCACGCATGTAACAAAACCATGTCCTGATGGAACTGAACCTTTTCAATGCACGGGCGTCTTCTTGTGCTGGGAAAAGATTATGAACACGAACGGAAAAAGGTTGTCTAAGGCACAATATTCAAGAGCTGTGTCCTTAAGGATTTAATATTCTATATGTTACAATTATCATGCGATCGTGTCATTGTTGCTTTGTGTTGATTACGACTTTAACCGTTCTCGTGGTTAAGAAACGTTAAGTTTACCCATTTTATCTAATAGTGAGTGAGTTAGGTTTTACGCCGCTTTTGGCAGTTTTCCGGCAATAACAGAAATGGGCTTTACACATTGCACCCATGAGGGGAATCGAACCCGGGTCTTCGGAGTGACGAGCGAACGTTTTAACCACTGTCCCTCTATCTAATATCAGTAATGTCGGATGTTCAATTACTTAATATATATGCTGGAAGAAACGCTTGCAAGTTGTCAGGGTGGACAAAACAATGTGTAGATGTAGGTACTTAAGATTTATCATCTAATGGAGGGTGTTATCGGTGCATAAAGCAATCTGATAAACTTGGTATCCAATTCTGATAACTATGCAAATTACGTCAATCCACGAACTACTTTCACAAAACTCCATACACATCATGCGAATCCTAAAACGTTTAACATTTCATTGATGACGTCGCGAGCTTACATTGTTTGTAAACAAACATGGCTGCCCCCATTCTCAAAATTGGTGATTCTGTAAGAATTAACCTCGTGTGTTTCCGTATCATTAATATCATATATTATGAATATAAATTGTATTATGCGAGCCTTTGGCGAGCATAATGCATAATTTTTATTCCTAATATATGATATTAATGATACGGAAACACACAAGGTTAATAATCCCTTTATAATATAATGTCATTGTTTGTAACAAAGGCCAAAGGCTCGCATAATACAATTTTTATTCATAATATATGATATTAATGATTGGGAAACACACGAGGTTAATAATCTCTATATATACTACAGACAAAAAATAAGGGAACTAAGAATTTGAATGCAGCTGATGTTGAGGTGGACGTGTGCAATATCGTGGCGTTGCAGCTGAACCCAGCATCCAATCCCAATGAAATTCCACATGATGCATGAACAATACGTGATGAATGTGCACACAGAAGCTAAACTGTGTCCACCTATTGGAGAACTCACAATCACTAATGGAATTGAGGTGAACACATGCTGAAAAATGCCTCCGAGGCAGTATCTCAATGAACAGACAAAATGAAGAGTTGTTGGCATGATACAGGGGGGAACACCACTGTGCCAAGTTGCCACTGGCTAGAATTATTGGCAGGAATTCTGAATTCCAAGACTATACTGCCAGACCACATCGTGCCCAAGTCGTCACCGCTTACCTCCGACGAGAGGATATACAGACATTGGACTGGCCCTCCAAGTCCCCAGATATGTCCCCAACTGAGAATCTGTGGGACGTTCTCGGCCGGAGGGTGTACGCCAGGGACCCCGCACCCGTGAACCTGGCCAAGCTTGGGGTAGCTTTTCGGGCGAAATGGCGGGCAATACCGCAGGCAACCATCAGGAAGTTAATCAACAGAAT